AAAGTCCTCTGCTACCGCGGCGAATGCTTCCCCGAGGATGACGTTGCCCTGGGCTATTTACTCGGGCGAAGTTTGATTGTGGAGGATCATGTTCATGACACGGGTTTTGATCTTGGGGTCGAGCGGTGTTTCGCCGTACTTCAAGAGTTCTAAAACGACGGGCTCGTCCGGGTCCTGCTGTTTTTGAATCGGCATAGAGCACAGTCGATCGCATCCCTGATATGGTTAATTTTGGCATGACATTGTTGGTGGTGGAAATCAGAAGACTGTCAATACCATTGATGTTCCGCTGTTCAGACCCAGAACCGTCAGGTCCAAAGCCCAACTCTGCTCAGCACCGTCTGGCAAAACACTATCCATCATGTATTGGGAATACACAAAGATCGATGGCTTGTAAAGTTTCTTCTTGGACGAACTATATCTCGCATACCTATTTCTCGGGCTATGGGAACGCTCGGGGTGAGAAGTTGAGGTCAAAATATTCATCTTCCTAAAATCTGAAACCACAAGCCCGGCTCGTAAGGCAAAGCTTCCTTTGGTTCGAATAATTGAACCGGGCTGCCATTAATTGATCAAGCCGATCGATCGCCCGTGTCACTAACACAAACCCGATGCAGCGCATACATGCCACATTCAGTGTGCCTTTCTAACTTTTTGGGCGACCAACAAACTCACTGGAGCCTCCCAACTCACTGTCTAACTGGCCACAGATTCGCAGCGTACTTACTTTTGCTATAATAGCAAGCGGTCGCTGTGGGGGAAGAATTCGCTTACAAGACAACTCGTGTAAAGTTTCCTGAGGAAGTGGATACCGATATACTTCGCTGAAAACCGATCAGATACATCGCTTCCAAAGTAGAATCTTAGGAGGTCTGTGATTCGGGGAAAACTAGCCTCAAGTGGCCTCTTGATCCGCATGAGGGAGAAGCCATGAAGGATCAGACGACCCCCTGGCTCCGTAGATTTTCTACTTAAGCTCACATTTCTCATTAATTCTTTCGCCTTTTTCTCCGCCGGCATCAAGATATACTCCAAGGCTTAGACATATGGCATCAGAAGACCATCGTGGGCTCATAAACCCCCAAGAGAACACGGCATACATCCAAGATCCATCTACCCCGGAGGTAGATGCCGAGAGATCTGCCTCACCAATGACCAGCAAGAACGAACGCAACGAATCTGACGAACCAGATGCTTCGGCCCAGGATATTCTTGCGCTGCAGGACTTGGATCCTGGTATGGATAAGAAGATGCATCTGGTGAATAATGTGAGCATACCCCAAGTTGTCCCTGCCACCCTATTTAAACATCTCCCAACACAAGCCCATTCCATCGAGTCCATCAGAGCTCATCCTTCTCATCCAAGTCACGGTTCATCTGAGACACCAACCCAACTCCCGCAAACATACCCATCTGAATAGCCTGCACAGCGCTCTTCATCATGGTAGCCGCATCCCCCGCAGCGAAGCATCCCTTCAAACTCGTCTCATTAAACGGCGCCGTAACAACAATATCCCCCGTTGGCGCGCATTCCAACCCCAACTGCGCCGCAAACAATGACTGCTGTTCCACCCGGGGATGGTTTGTCATGAATCCCTCCCTCTTGCTGGTGCCATCTGCAAAATGAACAATGACCCCTGGTCCGGAACCATTCTCCAGTTCCAGCCTTGTGACTTTTCTGCCCTCGTACGAGATCTTGCTGCTGTGCAGCATCCACCTGACCTGTTTCAGTAGGGAACAATCTCCGTTGGTGTAGACCGTGGTGCTTTTGGCGAGGCGCTTGGCCATGGGCGTTGCGTGCGCAATCATGTCCGCGGCAGCCAGCATGCCCGACGCCAAAACCTCGACTGACTCGGCACCACGTTCCTCGAACCCGTGGCAAAACAAGCAGTGAAACCTGGCAAATAATTGATAATTAGTACAAGCGCAATCGGATATCAACTGAGCTCCAAAAGGGGCCACTTACACGCCGCGTCCCCAGCAGGCATCATAGCCCTCGATATCTTCAGGAGGCACATCCCTCACCCCGGTACCCAGACCGAGTTTCTTTCCGGTATATTTGTCTCCCTGGTCATCAATTGCCTCAAAGATGCCGCTGTCCAACTTGCGCACCTCCTTGATCGTGGCCGCCTTGAACTCAATGTGCTCATATCTCCTCCTCAGGTCCTCGCGGACTTTTGTTCTGAAATCGGCGGGATTGGCGTGATCGAAGCCAGGGACGTTGTGCATGTGAGTTGCTCTAGCGCTGCGGTACTCTCCAGAATCCAGAACTAACGCAGAGTAGACCTATCTAGCCAAGGCTGTTGCCATGGATAGGCCAGCTGGGCCGCCGCCAATAATGAGGACATCGTATAACTTGGGGGCCATTTGTTGCAAAAACTGGTGGCAGTTGGTGGTCAACTATGAATAACGGGTTTGGACAAAATTTGTAATGCTAGCCGTGAAGCGCGGCTTTTATAAGGACGGCGGCGGGACCCTGTCGGCCTCTTTTCCCGCGCCGGACCCCCGGAAATGTGGGGCACTTATTAAAAGTCTCCGGGATAAGTCTCCGGCGAGGCCATGCCGCATTAGGCTGGCCAACCAGGTTGCTGTTCTCGATTTTACGAGATGTAATTGTATCATGGTGGATTTATTGGCTCAAATTTATGGTGAACCACAGATGAGTCACAAGGCAAACGAAAGTATGATACGCGTCTCTTCTGTCAGCTTCGTCAGCCGGTGCGCTTCAACCGTTCGAGATGCTTCTCATCGCGTATATCAACGGAATTTTTACTGCTATCCAGTGGGAATCATTTTGCGCAATACAGGAATAAAACAGACGTGGGTGCGATCCAGGATACGTGGGTGTACCTGCCCAACCCTACCGCCCGTATGCCATCAAGCTATGCCGTACAATACCGACAATGTCGCAACGCTCTTCTATCCTCAGCTTAGCTATGAACTCCCCCTTTTCATTAATTTGCATGCAATCAATGATTCATTTTGTCCCCAGTTCCACGCCTGTCATCCACGCGGCCAAGTCTCGTAAGGAACGGACCCTGACAACCTCATGTTCGGCAAATAGGGCATTGACGCTTTTGGGAGAGCAGTCCTCCAAGTTAGGTATTTCCATGGCCTTGCCCTCAACGTCAAGCAACACTGGGTTCCAGCCCGCATTCGTAGCGCCAACAACATCCTTGGCATACTCGTCACCGACGTAAATTTTCTGCCAGCTCTCCAGCTCAGCGGGGGTCGGAGCTCGCCCAGCCCGGCTGGCGATGACACGGCTCAGCATGAGCTCAGCCGCCTGAAATATGCGCTGGTCCGGCTTCTCGACGCCGACATCATATGACATGCAGTGAAAGTCAATGTCGTGCTCCTCTTGCGGCGGCACAGGCGGCCAGTCTGGCGTGCCGTAACGCAAGGGGCTGACATTCAGCCCAAAGGAAGAGAGAATGCTCGGCACTCTATCATCTGAATTCGTCACCACCCCTATAATGACCTGCTCAAAGCCCTGTCGGGCCTTTTGCTGCCGAAACGCCCTCAGCGTGGAAATGAGACTGCTCTCGGCGCCGTATCCCTCGTTGGATGCGAATCGGTGTATTAGCTTTGGAACCAGAGCCGGCGGTAGGGCTTGGTCCTGGGGGATGAAGGGTTTGAATGTCGCCTGAATCACCTAATCTAGTGTTAGGTGGTAACGGTCGTTGTGGCGAGGGCATACCGAGGACTGGCGGCGAGTCACTCACATTTGTCCACCACCGAGTGGCGCCAAGTCCTGTATCCTTGCCGTAGTTGGGATTTCTCTCCCTCTCTTGATTGATCGCTGCTAATAAGCGGGACTGGAGCTCGTCCTGGGTGAAGCTGGTGATGCCGCATTGGTGTGCGACCTGGGCATATTGCTGGGCCACAGACGCCTTTGGGCTGAACAAGGTACCGAACGCGTCGAAACACAAGAGAAGATTTCGCTTGCTCATTGTCAATATGGCCCCTTGCGTGCTGTAATGCAATCGGCCAGTCTTTTTCATCTGACCGATGATGCTCGTTGATGCAGTGATGGAGATGCGTGAACCGAGGCCGATGTCGCGACGGGAATTGAAGAACAGCCCCACAGCTGGCCGGTGACATCAATTGATGACTTGTTAGCTGGAAAGTGCGAACGCTGCCATGTTGAACATGTCAAGTTGTCATATTATGGTCACGATATTGTAACTCATTTCTTACATATATATATTTTGTATTTTGTATTTTTTCACCAAACAATATAAATTTTTCAGCTGAGCAGGTTTTTTTTCTTTTGGAGGTCCCGGCCTGATGCTCTTAATAATCCCCAGTCTCGACGAGCACAGAGTCGTATAAGGTAGAAAAATGCATCTACATGGCAGCGATACGTGTACCAAATTCCTGGAATTTGGCCATAAAGTCCTGTCCGATGCCGGGTCCCGCTCGGACCTTCGCCTTCAATGTTCATCTGAAGCAGGGGCGTTCTGCTTCCCTGACTTTGCTTGAGGCAGGAGCGTTGACTAGTCGCAACCAACGCACCAGGCATGTAAATTCTCAAGTGCTAGTATTTGATCAAATTGATGGAGCCCCCTCATCCCCGCCACGGTCATCGTACAACCAGCCTCATTCTGTATCAACAATTCTTTCGCCGTCTACGAGGATGATTGCAACTTCTTTTCCATCGAAGACGTGGATGACGACTTCCCCGTAACAGAGGGAACCAGGGAACTGGCTATTCTCGAGTCAGTCATTCTAGGGTTTCTCGACGTATACGCTTCATCAGCCATGACGGCCTAGAGTAGTATCGTAGCGGTGAGGTGCACGCACCATCCAGCTTGTTGGGTGCTCGATTTCATCACCTTTGATTCTTGGCTGGCCGATGCCGTCCTTGTTTGCGCGGGGTCCAGCTGTCCGGTCATTCCTTTTATACCGCCTCTCACCCCATTTTCAGTCAAGTCAAGTACCTTTACATTTTCTTCTTCTCAATCGCCTATTTTTAATGCATCTGGTATATCAAAAATATGTGTCCCACCACACCTGCCATGCTTAATGCCCGACGGGAAAAGGATTGTGTCGGTATCACGCATGAGCGCAAGTACTACAGCCTCAACGGCTCGTTTGTCAAGCGCAGCCTTCGTCCGTCTGAGTGGCAGCACAACCCGTTCGCCGGCACGCTGAGCATACCTCGCTTTGGCAATGAGCGCCTCTTGAATGAGGCCGCTGCGTTGCGATTCATTGCTGATAATACGGATATCCCCGTGCCAAAGCTCTATGGCTGCTTTGAGGATGACAATGCAATTTACTTGGTCACCGAGCTTATCGATGGCGTGAAAATGGCTGATCTCGAACCAGAGCAACGCAAATCGGTTGAACCAGAGCTGGAGGGCTATGTAAATGTTCTGAGAGGTTTGAAGTCCAGCGTATGGGGAGGACCCTCGGGAATCGTAAGCTCTCGCGTCTCCCCTTTCCAATTCCTCGTGTTAACATTTTCCATGCAGGTTATCCCCCCCTACCGGATCATGGTAGAATCGCACCGTATAACCTGGAAGATGAAGCCGAGGGAGTCTAGTGATCTTGTCTTCTGCCATAACGACTTCTCCGCGCATAATGTCATTGTCGACCCAGTGAGCCTCAAAGTAAAGGCTGTCCTCGATTGGGAATACGCTGGGTTTTATCCACAGGAATTTGAGTCTGAGTTTTTCCGACGCCCTGGGCCGTCAGTTGCGCTCGATGGGGAAAGAAATGACGTGACACAACTTTTGGAAATCATGTATCAGAATGAGGAGTAGATTTGTCAGAACAATCTCTACACATAAATTTATATATTGAGTGAGCATCCCCCTTCCTTCTGCCTTCGCCATTCATCCCCATACAGCGTGATAGCTAGACCTCATATCACTTATTGCCAGTCTGGGAGGTTGGCTGATCTTGGATATTTTTTCAGTGACCGTCCTAAGTGTCGGAGCTTGGATGAGATGGCTTCCATACCTGTAGTTTCTCTCTTTTTGTGCGTACTCTCCAAAGGACATCCTGGCTGGGTAGAGGAGTAATTTATTCCGCACGCCGAGCATTTGACAACTTCAGAGGGCATTTTTGCTTCGTATTTCTTCTCAACTGAGGGTCAAAATATGTGTAGAAAAACTAGCGTAGTGAGGAAATGTAGATGGATTGTGACGGAGATGATCTGAGGCCAGGTGTTGCCCAGGCTACTTTATATATTCCACTGATTATGGCCACGGCTGGTCGTCTGCGATATCCGTTGTAAGAAAACGCACCAACACCGCAGCCAAGTCGAGCATATGCAAAGAACTGCGTATGTGAATGGCACCTAGCGCATTGGCTCACAACGCCTTTGCCTCGAATGTTTGCCCTAGAATGAGTTCATCCTCCAAACCCCCCACCCCTTTTTCTCCCCCTCCCAACTGTTTTCTTTCAGCGACTGGTTCTAGGTGCATCACGAGGACGTCTGATCGGACTTCGGCGCGGCAGGCTGTTGCGTCTGATATCATTTTGCCCTACCTCTCGTCCAATTATATAGAGCGGCTCCCTTGTGATCAAATAGAAATAGCATGTTATCACTTTGCCATGGCCGCCACGCAGAGGCAAGACCTCCTGCACACCAGTCCGCCTTGCTTTTTCCTTGATCGCTGCCTGCAGGCGAGGTGGTGTGAAGTTGAACAGGGTCTTTTGGTGTATTTGTCGTAGGACCAACAGCGTGAAGGAGTAAAGGTAAATATATCCTCCTACACGCTAGGCAGGTTAGAAATCGGTCAGTCGCCGCAATATAAGCTTTGGCAAGCGTTTAGCTGCCATGAGTCCCGGTACAAAGTCTCAAAGGCATCCTAGCGGCTCCCGTCAATGAGAAAGAAGTATAATAGTTGACAACTTCAGAGCCAAGGAAGGCGATGGAAAACGGGACGCTCTGCCTCATGACACATCAATGTCATAGGCATTCGTGGTGTGTGCCTACGAGTGGCCCATGTGTTCGGGGATAATACATCGTCAGCATTGATGCTGTGGTGGCACGCGCTCTTAGCAGAGCGAGGCTCGACCCGGAGTGTCTAGCACGACGAATGCGGAGGCTGAATCGTCGAATTAGCATGGAGCCAATCCCAATGACCGAAAGGAAATCCAGACATCTCTGAAGAACCTAAAATATTTTGCATCACTTGCGATAGAGGGCAGCTCGGCCTTCTTACTTCAAAGTCGTGGTGGGAGAGGACTTTAAACAAAGAGAGTTGCACTGGCCAGGGCAGAATTGTTGTCATAGAGTTCGGCCAACAGTTCTAGAAACTGACAGGGTTTTTTCAATGGACGTCAAGGATGCCGTAATATCCGGAGCTCGGTTCTGATGTTGGTTGGGTGCTCTACACTGGTCAAACCAACACTCTGTTCCGGCTTCTCTGGGTTGCCATGTCACAGCTCTAGTGAGCAATGGAGGTTCATGTCCCTTTATCCCTGATAAACAGTACCTTGAGCTTCCTAGAAAAAACTAGTCCATACATGTACTAAAGTCTAGCCTATCTTGGTATGGTCCCCGCCGATGAGATGGCGCGGGCCGTGCCACCTTGCTCCACCCATGTGAAGTCTGGAGTCTGGAATCTGGACACCATTGATGATAAAGGATTCATATGCAGCGCGCTGCCAACCAGGCATCCGGACTACTCCCCGGTGACTCATGCAGTGACTAAGCCGCGAAGCTGAGGCGAACGAGCTGACGGACTCCCGTCTTCTTGGCTCACGCTTCGACTCGGGCATCTAGTTCGGCCAGAGCGAAAAAGTACATCCATGGGCATGAACAAGTCCGTGGCGGTGTCGACGACCTGGTTGTTCCTCGGTGAACCGCCCAGGGCTCATCATGTCCCACGGGACCGACGTCGTCATCAGGTTCTGGCCGCCTTCTAGGCCTTGAATTGCTCTGCGCCACCTCGTCGGCCGTCTGCAGGTGGTCTCTCCGCGCAAGCATGCAAATGTTTGCAACTCGATCCTTGGAGGAGAGCTGGCATGCTGACGCTCCCGTCAACACCGTCTGTCGCCTCAGTCCCCCTCATTTCGGAGCACAGATCCCGTCTTGTTGGCCGGGTGGACGGTACGAGGCTACGAACAATTCAACAATACATCCCGTGGATCCGAGCTTCAAACGCGAATGACGGGAGGGTTTCTTGCACATCGCAGTCTTCTCCATGCTCGATTGCCGTTCAACCATGGTCCAAAAAAAGTCGGGCTACGACCACGACGTCGGCCTCGACGATGCCAGTTTCGCATTGGAATCACAGCATGATAACGCGACTGCTGTTACTCCCAAGAAGGAATGCCAACTCCAGGATCAATGAGCAGTCGGCGACACGCATGAGAGCGTCCAGCACACATACCCCAAGACGCCGCTTGCGTTTTGACTCGCCCATTTCGCTCTAAACCTCTATTAGAACAATATCATTGTGTACTTGTAAGTAAAGCGAGATTATAAGCCACTTTGCTATTCACCATTTTTCGATATGGCAGCGTTTTGTACTTTCTGGCCAATTGCTTCCGTACAGCTAGGCAGTCGCCGTCTCTGCATCAACAGCTCCCAGAAATGCGACAATTCATGGCGAGAATACGATTTGACAAGTTTCCACCCTGCATAGCGTCGAAATATTGGTGCGACGCCTTCCACTTTTTTTGATCAAGTGTTGTCATGCATCAAGGCCCCCGAATGCTGCTCCGACCCCAGGACCCTATGGGTACGACCGCCAAAGAAAGTATAATGGCCCAAGGATAAGCGGTTGTTGCCAAACTCAACCCGTTTCTTGTAGAGATTCTCATCGCTCAACTTTGGGCGCCGCCGAGGTGGCGTCGAAGCTTGTTTCCCTCAGCTGAAGAAACGACATGCTAAGCAATACACATTTCCCTCCTCCGAAGTGACATGAACTCCATCCCTATTTTTCGCAGAGAACAAGTCTGGTTGTGACAAGGAAATACCACCATACGGCACTGCTTCCTGGCATGTGAGAAGAAGTAAGTATTCGCACGGGATTACGGGATTTCTGGCATGATAAGTAGACAATCCATTGGATTATATCGAGATACGCAACTCTTTGCCTGCGTACGGCACCATGTCCCAAAGTACCAAGTATATGACACCACAACATCAAGTTCGGGTCATTCGTCCTACAAAACTACTCCAGCAACATAAAAAATAGATCTGCCAAGACGACCGAGCACTCGGCCCGTTGAGACCATGGAGCGAAAGCCCAAGTGCCGAATAGTCCGGGAGCAATAGTAACATTGAATCCTACTCAAGGTCAGTGGGAGGGGGGCTCTACATGTCCCGCGCTTGCCCGTGACCACCACGAGCCAGTAATCCAAACAGATGCTGATGATCTCCCTCACGCACGAACTGCAGGATGCGGAGAAGTGTATCTTTTCCTGACTCACAAATCCTCTTCCGCTGCTTCGACGACATGCTCATTTTCGTCGTAATCGTCCGAACCCTCCACCAAGATTCGGTGGCGTGTCGCAAATCGAGCATCATCAGGATCATCTGATATCCATGAAACCTGATCCTCATCGTCCATACCCCTTGCCAGCACTGCGGGATTCCATGACAAAACAAGAGTCAACCTCGAATAAAACGAGACTCGCGTATCGGCAGCCTGAATTACATCCTTTATCCATCGCTCCTCGCCGTCCAAATCACATCCAGTATTGATAGTTTCTGTGTTCCTTCGCCCGCCGTTTACAAAACCTGGGGCAAGAATCGTTCTAGATGCTGCCGAAACATCAGACAACGGCTAGAAACACATCCGAAACGTTTGCGTCAATTTCTCCGTCTTCTTACCCGGCTTCCCCGGCTTTTCAGGTCACATCTCTAACACCTGCCGTTTAGCCAAGACGGCAGCGCACCAACTCCGTCTGAAACTCCCCACCCTAATCGGGGATCCATCCTCTTTAAACTGGTTTCATGAATGTCTGTCCGCACTCTAATCCTAAGCTTCTTCACTCGTCCAATAGTATACTAAGCGCAAGTAGTTGAGTTCTTCCCGTGAGCGTGTGAAGCCATGCGACACTGTTTCGAGTGATGAGGTTGCGCGTCCCCGCACTATCCGTGTTATTCACCGTAGCTCAGATGATTAAGTAGAAGGCCCTCCCATTTGTTCTGTCCCCTTCCTTTCTTCGTTCACTTCTACATCAGCTAGTCTGTACTTGCATTCCGCTCCTTGACCAGCCAGACTGGTCGCCGGCTTCATGTCGACTTTCCCCCCTTCACCATACCGCGTATTGTCGCGATAGCACCAACATGTCGGCGCCGCCATACAAACAGATACTTGAGTGGTTGGACTCTGTCATCGAGGGACTCGAAGGAAGCGCAAACAACATCGAGACGCAAGCAGAGGATGCGAAGCCAGGCTTCATCACCACGCTGACTCATGCGATACCTTCAGACGAGCCGACCGCCTTGCCAACCCCTGCTAAAGCACAAACTCCGATATCAAACACAATAATTTCCAGCGTCGCTGCGCCGACGCCACTGGCACCCAACCTTCCACAACTACCGCCATCAAGCGAAACACCATCGCCTCCGCCGTCAGATTCATCCGTGTCCTCGGCTTCATCTTTGTCCTCCGCATCGTCCACCTCCGCGGAATCAAAAGCTTCAACACCTCCGCCGCCGGTAGCCTCTCTGTCTCCCACGTCGGGATTAGTACTGCCAACTGGGCTACCTGTAGCCTCCTCCGTGACTCTGCCCTACCTGCCGCCTACGACATTTGCAACGCAGCCCGTGGGTTCCGGTACATCACTGGCCGGGCTCCCTGCGACAGCAAGTCCCAGCGATCCCAACAGTCCATCACAGGAGAATAAGGGCTTGCTCGCCCCGCCGGGGACAACGGGGGAAGTACGAGACAGTAGTCGGGCCATAGGAATCGCGTTCGGCTCACTGAGTAAGCCGCTCCTAGTTACTGCTGAAACCCATTTAAAAAAAAAAAAAAAAAAAAAAAAAACCACTAATCCAGGTCAATAGCTGGAGTTGCGGCCCTTGTCCTTGCCGCGCTGATACTTTATAAATGCCGAAGCAAGAGGAGGTCATCGTCGCAATTGAAGCAACTCGAATGACAACTAGGTGGTGCCACCAGCAGGTGATTGCTCAACTCAAGCATCCGGGCAATTCGACTCGAATCTAGCGGTGTGGGAACAACTCGTGCTGACGGGTTACACTTGGCGGTTGATGCCAGCGTACTCCGTACTGCGGCGAGGATTTGTCGCTGGCTTTCATTTCGTTCAAGATAGAAATCATGCCGATTATACTTGTATTTCTGCCAACCAGCTACCATTAGTAAGAAAACAGCCTCGGTATAGGAGCTTCTCGCCGTCTTGGATACGGAATAATGGGGATACATACGGAGTACAGAGTAGTAATAGGTACTAATCTTCCATTTGCCCCGCAGAAACCAATCAATCACGACAAGGATCAGTCGGGAACCCACATATACCTGCATGGTTGTGTTTCCAAAACACTCAAATTGCACAATTCCGCGGCTGGCCTTGCAATTCTCGTTGCACGAACTCCCGATGCACGTCTAATCAATCTTGCCCGACCATTTGCATCGTCCCCGAACCATCCGCGGCCCCAGACCCATTACTACAGCTAAATTATTCCCGCCCATGTCCCCGAAGCCTGGGTACACTATCCGGCGCCGGCGGGGTCTATGACAAATATTTGAAAGACGATACAACCCGTCGATGCGCGAAATTTTCATCAAGACTAAGCGTATTACAAGGTTGGCGCAGTCAAGTATCTTTATCCCAGTCGACGTACCGAACGAGGTTTGATTGCATTCTCTCAATGAAGTGAAAGCGGTGTCTTGAGAGGCGCTGTACCAGTCGGGTCGTACTGGTGTTTCTCCGGACTTCTACCAATCTTCGCTTGGCATTTATACAACATGCCAGAAGAAAGAAGTCCTCAGCAACGACGGGGCATCGTCACCCACGATGCCTCCGAGGGAACGCCTCTTCTTCAGAGTGATCGCTGTTCAATCGCAAGCGCATCAACCGAATCTTCGAATCATTCAGAAAATGCCTCGACAAAGCCTGGCTCCGGTTCAGCCAGTATGGCAAAGCCGTTGCCCAAAGTTCAAATTGCCTTGCTGTGTTACGCCCGGATGATGGAGCCTATTGCATTCTTCTCCATCTTTCCCTTTATTGCGCAAATGGTGAAGCGCAACGGAAACCTGCCCGACTCGGATGTGGGATTTTACAGCGGCCTCATCGAGTCCATCTTTTCTGCAACGCAGACCGTCGTTCTCATATTCTGGGGACGACTTGCAGACAAAGTAGGCCGCAAACCCATATTGATCTACAGCCTTTGTGGCCTAACCATTGGACCGGCATTATTTGGACTTGCCACGAGTATTGGGGAGATGATTTTGTTCAGGAGCATTGCCGGCGTGTTTTCGGGGTCGAGCTTGATTATTCGAACCATGATTGGCGACCACAGTACGCCCGAGACCCAGGCTGTTGCGTTTAGCTGGTTCGCCTTTGCAGGCAATGTGGGCATCTTTCTTGGCCCAATTATTGGCGGTGCTCTGGCAGATCCTGCGAACCAATACCCAAGTTTGTTCGGTGGCATTGAGTTCTTTGAAAACTTTCCATATGCCCTTCCGGGGCTCGTCGTTGGCGCTATTAGCGTTACTGCTGCGCTGACGTCGATATTCTTCCTCGAAGAAACCTTGAACAGAAACGAGACCCTTGGCGAGAGCTTCAATGGCAACTCGGAAGACCACGATGCCTCAAAAATGACGATATGGCAGCTTGTCAAAGCTCCAGGGGTCGGTGCCGTGTTATGGATTTATGGCCACGTTATGTTTCTTGCTTTTGCCTTTACAGCAATTCTCCCAGTCGCATTGTTTACCCCTGTCGAAATCGGTGGTTTGGGATGCTCAGCTATGCAAATTTCAATATACTTGGCTGCGCAGGGCGGTAGTCAGGCCATGTGGCTACTATTCGCTTTTCCATTCCTGCAGCACCGCCTAGGTACCAAGGGGGTGTTGCAAATGTGTGCTACTGCGTATCCGTTGTTTTTCGCAGGCTACATTGTCATGAACACCTTGCTTCGGGACGGCGGTCAAGCTGCCATGGCTTGGTTCTGGATACTAGGTTCCGTGGTTGCATTTATCGGTCCCGGCGTGTCCATGGCCTTCACCGGAGTGCAACTGGCCTTAAACGACGTTTCTCCAGCCCCTCAACAGCTCGGGACTCTCAATGCCATTGCTTTGACATGCACCAGCGCCATTCGTTCAGTCGTGCCTGGCGTCGCTTCTGCCGTCTATGCTGTCGGCGTTCGTCATCAGATTCTATGGGGTCACCTTGCTTGGGTCGTTCTCATCCCTATATCGATGGCATTGACGGTATGTCTAAAGTGGTTACGCAATGATAGATTCTGAGAAGGAAAGCTCTCACTTTACTATAAAAATTCAGCGTCATCAGCCTCGCACCTGCGGGGACGAGTGGCCGCAGACCTAACGTGGCATCAGCATATATCTAGCGTCCAAAAAGCACCTTGTATTCCAAAACTGCATGTTTTTATCTACCTTATATTACTCCGGAAACAACCTGGTATATATAGGATCCTGGAGACTTGTCTTTCTTTTTGCTGCTCTCTCTAACTAATTGAGTTGCAATGTGAAACGAAGACGTTTACCAATTTGTATTCTATAACTCCGCTGATGAGCTTCAATTTCATGGCAATATTGAATGATGGTGAATGGATCTAAACATTGTGGTCGCCTGCCTGGGTGCTAGAGCCCTGGTGGTGGCCTGATCGTGACCTTCGCCATTCGAACGTCGTTATAGGTTTTGTCTTAATAGCTTCTCTGAGCTTTTCTTCGCTTCGGTGCATCCAGGTACCTGCGGATGCGGTACTGACCGGATAAAGAGGCATATTTTCCGATTTCATAAAAAAACCATACGGGTTCTGCATATCGTAGGAGGCGATTATATCCAACTCGGCCGCGATCTGGTCACAGAAGCCGTCCAACGGCAAATCATTGACGTCTTGACCAAAGGGATTCTCAATTTCTCGGCCAATGAATAGAAGTCCGAGAATAATATAAGCCGCGGCCAAGGTGGCGGGAATTGTGATCCAGTCCACATACTTGACCAGTTGGAAAGGGAGGAGCACCACGTAAAGCCAAGTGATCTGACTAATAGCAATGGTGTATGCAATTGGCAGGGGAGTGTTGAGCACTCGTTCGCATCCAGTCATTACATCGTTGAGAACACTCAAGTTGTTGTAGGCCAAGGTCTGCTGCATAGGCACCTTCAGCTGCTCGTTCCTGACCATGTGGTCAATGGTGACAGCAATGTGATTAAGAATTTCAAGTGGGAGATTGCCAAGGGGACGTGTCGCCCTTTTTAGCGTCTTTCGTGGGTTACTTGCGGCAAACGAGACACCAAGATATTCTCCCACTCCTTTGAAAAAGTTCTTTTTGGGAGCAGTAATAGACGATACGTCCTCGTTTGTTGCTTCTTTGGCAAATGTATCCAAATGCCCGACAAGATTTTGCAAATCAGGGTATGCAGTGTACGGTTCGAAGCGTAGTGAGTGCTTGAGGGCAACAGCAAAGGCAACTAGCAGATTCATAGAGCTTAGCTTCTTCAGAACCGACTCTCGAGGGTCGGCATCGGGATGGTCCAACCCGTGGATCCAAAAGACACGTCCTAGAACCTGGGACGCCAAAACTAATGCGGCCCAGTATTTGCGGCCTTCAGCATAGCGTTCGTAGGCCGTTGAGTTTCTGAAAGATAGGCCAAGACCCACGACGAAACCAGTGATTGTCAATAAAACTGATTGTACACCAAGATCATGGACCTTCATGCTGATGACGGTAACGGCAGTTGACCATGCGGCAATAAACGTCAGGGGAAGAATCATCTTGGGCAGAATGCTGCCGTGCATTTGGAGAAATATCGGCCATTTTGAGTGTTTCGAGGTATCTCGTGGGCCGGTGAAGTAGTCGTCGATCTCGAGCGATGTCCGACGTGGGAAGGGGAATGGTACATGAGGAGCGGTGGGCGATATTGGAGATTGAATGTTTTCCGGTTGTGCTTCCGTTGCGTGCTTCTTTTCATGGTCCATTATATGGACATTTGGCTTGGACAGCTCAAACATCGCCGTCATCTCTGCCGCACCGCCGTCGGCCATGTTGTCTCAGATGCAGGACAATCTCTCAGATAAATATAGAGAAAAATATGACAAGTGGTAAAGCGATGGTGGAGGAAGAGAAAGGATTAGAAAAAGGACTGTGGCGCCGGGATCTAGGGCTCAGGAGAAGACCATAACGAGAGAAAGGACAGATAACTCCTGTACCTGGGTCGTCAAAGAATCGAGGGGAGCAAAAAGAGCAGTCATTCAAGGAACCTGAAATTGAAGGTCAAGGACACAAAGGCCTTGCCCGTTTAAGAGTCGTCAAGGGTTGGGGCAGGAGTGCCGGCAGTGCTTTCCCTACTCACCCACTCACGCCACTCACACGTGCAGGCCACACATGCGGCCATGTTCTAGCCTTGCACATTCGCTTCCTCAACTGGTCCTGACGCTGAAATCCCTGCTCCCTTTGCACCATGTCACAGCCGACAGCCTCTGCATACCGAAAGTCGCAAATCCACCGCCAGATCACCAAACATCAGGCAAATCAAAGCATCACGCCCATGCCAGACCCGCAGACACCAATGCAGGGGCGACTTACAAGCCCTTCAAGCCTCCAAGCGCTGACCGCCACCAGGAGCCAGGGGCTTTTGGCCCAACGGTAAGCGCCACATGGCAGAAAAAAGGGCATCATGTCGAACAAGTGGCCGCATTCGCAGGTAAGCATTGTGCTGCGCCTCATGTTACTGCTGGCGATGATAACACTAACATCCAAAGATAGCGCAATCAAGAACATGGCCGGTGTTGCCTCGTTTAGCAAAGGATCGATTGCTGACGCTCTATATTCGTTGCCGGTTCCTAACAGTCGACGCAATACCTAAGACAACGAGTAGTCATTCACTTTTCCCCGCTACCGCACGTCGTCTAACAAACGGAAGAGTCAGTGGTTGTGTCAAATTCCGAAACGAGCCACGCCCATAAGGGGGCGAGTATCATAATTCTATGGAGCATGGACTATTTTGGAGCATGGACTATTTTGGGCCAACCGTCCAATGCATGCAACGGAGCCAAGAAGAAATAAGCATTATAGCCCCTGACCAAACTGGGAAATACGGCCGCTAGCTCACGGCTAGGCCCGTGATGCAAAGTCAACCAGTTTTTGTGTTGGGTATCGTCCCAGGATCTTTGGAGCAATACATGAATGCCGTCTGGGGCGACATTGAGGCTCTTTTTTTTGTCAAGTTTTGACCTCAACATGGCTACGCCGTGCAAGTTCTGGGACAATCAATGGCTGAGATACAAACACGGGCCATGGCTCTTCTGGCCACACGATCCACCATTCGACCGTTGCTAACACTGCGCGCCCCTTGCAAGGATTACATCTGGGGTTTTCACTGGCTACCGGATGAGCCGAACTAACTGCATTCGTTGCTTCTTGGACTGTGGCTCGGTTTGCTCAGGAGCCCCTGAAGACGGCCCCTGAGGATTGAACTTGGCCAGCATCGTATTTTCGTCCAACAGCATGCCCCCGAGGAGGATGTTGAGTTGGTCACACACAGTTGGTACCGATCAACGCGCTATACGGATCCGAGCTCGCCACTCGGGCGTCTTGGATAGGTATTAATTAGCATTGAATAATGCGCTTCGTGGAAATCATGCAAGTACAATACGGTGTCACGAAATAGGATGACTATGTGAGACGGGCGACGGTGTATTTTATGCCTTCCGTTTGAGATATTAATAGCTCATGCAAGCCCACGACGGCCAGAAATCCGCCATTGACGATATTGCATTTGGGCCAGGGTTCCTGTCGCGCCGGCACAGTCGTACCGAAAAGAGGTGCGATCTGCTAAAATTATGCCTATGCCAATATCACAATTGAAGATATTGAGAAGTAAACTCAACGCGATCGTCCTGATTATACTACGGAGCTACCCGAATTAAGACCCTGTCGGCACATCTTTAAAGCAAATCCTCACTATCATTTGTCGATCGGCGTTGCACACTGCACAGCAGCCAATGCGTCCACAATGGGACTCAATGTACTGCAATTCGCCCAACACTGCCGCGCGGCATAATGTTTGTGGGGATCCAGGGAGGTGTTACGGGCGCCCTTGTGGTGCCGCGCAAGGTTGCTGCTCGTGTTTGAAGCCATTTCCGCCTGGCACTGGACTCGCTGCAGGCTACGCGCTCATATTGATGAACACAAGACCGATGAAGTCTGTCTAGCGTGATGGTAGTGCCGTACCTTATGCCATGAATATTTGTTGATCTTCGTGCAGGCTCGTCCGTTAAAAGTTCAACAGACGCAAAGTCGCAAGGATACGTTGCTCACCTTGAAACTAGCTCGAAGAGGTATCATTACTAACCACGAGCCGCATACTTCTTGGTGTGTGTAGATATCCAACCCCTGTAATTCTTGAAAATTCATGCCTTACGCGACTTGGTGTTCTTCCCATGATCACCGCATAGTACTCGCAAATAATCACTACTGATCTGCAATTGCCTTCCATTTGAGGTATCAAATTCATGGGAGAATAATGGGTAAAATGAACCCTCTAGCTCATGCTAACTTGCCATGTACACCCACTGTACATACCCACCTCAGATGTGTGTGATTAACATTCTTGATTGCCACACTCTCCCAATCGCCTAGAACCACGGCAAAGAGTCACGCGATTTCAATCTAACAAGTCTCTAGTTTCACATCGACATCTGTCTCTGTCGCATATGCTTCGGTCAGTTACCTCAAAGGCTGATGCCGCCACGGCTGACTCCTTGAACATGAATCACGCTCTGCTGTACCGTCACCATTGTAGCTAAAAACCGTCCATCTCCCAATCTGAAAGGCCGTTGACTCGGCCCGACGCCAGCTTCACAAGAATGTCCTACCACGATAGTTGTACGTGGCAGAGATACGTGTCGTACACGTCAGGCCGCTAGGTTTGAAACTTAGCAGCCCCGTCCGGTGTGCGGCATCGCAGCCCAGTAGCAGCCCGAGAAGTCGTGGAACTTCGGCGAGGGATGATTTTCAGGTGGCACTTGCAACTAGGCTCGAGCTAGTCTTGTAGAGCGATTAGGTCACTCTCATATTTATTTGTCACGGGGAATTTCACATCAGAGAAGCGTCAGGCGCCAACAGGAAAAACTGGCGGCATGGGACCAATCATGACCTGAAGCACCAGGTGCGTTTTCGGAACGAGAATCTAACACTGGGTTTTGACACCTTATTCAGCTCTACGGTGTGTAGTGGCTCTCCATGCTTGTACGTGGATGAGCATATATAATCTCTCACCAAGCAATAACCGCTTTTCATGATATTCCATCGGGTGAACCCTCGGAGGGCAGGTCTCGGGCGGGTCTTCGGACTACAGACTTTTGCTTGGGACCAGCAACCAAGTATAAGTCGAGTTCCCCAGATTGCGATGTGTCGTAACGACTAGATGTTCCACAGTCGTAAGCAGAAATTACCGCTGTATTTGATGCCTATAAAGGGTATTATAGAGCCGATTATAATACAACATGCTAATGGATATATATACCAAAGAAAGAGCTCCAAAAAACACGGCATTGATGCACCAGCCTGGAAGCAGAGACTCACATCAAGCCAATCTGGCTGACGTTCCCTATTTTCCAGGGCCAGATTGATTTGCTGGGCCTGAGCCTGCTAGTTCTACAGGATCGTTTGTCTGCGTCATAAGTTCATGAACATGCGTTCCATGCAGTTCAGCGTGCAGTGGTGTTGACGACTTGTCCGCGGTCTGCGGCGGAACCTGATAACGGTGTTTGCGCTTTCGCCACCAAAAGAAGGCTCCTAACAAAGCCGCAATCGCAACAACAGGGATAACAACCCCAATCGCAACCTTGGCACCTGTAGAGAGTCCACCCGATTCATCGGTGACTTGTGATGCATTCGAAGTGGCCGCCCCCCCTGGTGAGCGGGAAGCAGACCCGTGTGTTGTCGATTCTGCCGGTTGCGTCGAAAGATCGGAGGATTGGTAGACCATTCGGATACCAAAGGCATTCAGACCCTCGGGGCTGCGAAAGCCAAGGTTTTTCGTTGTCGTGACGCCTTTTTCGCTCGTTGTCACGGGCAGCGTGGAGTCTGAACTCGGGGGCGCAATCCATGTGCAGTATAGCGTTGACCAACTTCCCGACAGTGTGCTCGTGGTAAGGCAGCCCAGGGTGACGTCTGGGTTCTTGAGAGCAGGACAACACGTTACCGTTGTTATCGATGCCACGCCGGTTGTATCATGGCACGCGGATACATACCCCGACGGACAGACGAGGCCGGGCGAGAAGTAGGCGTCGGATTTGAAGTTACTGGGCAGGCAGGTAGAGCTTAGATCTACCATGGCCAGAAAACCCGACAGGTAGATGCCATCGCAGCCTGGAGGCCGGGAAAAGGTCGTGGTGAGGGGGTTCCTAGGAAAGGATGTGATGACGGACGGGGTGTTTGCCGTCGTTGATGCTCCTGCTGTGGACGACATGGCGGAATCGCGCGGTCACGGCGATACCTGGGTCGACTGGGCTGTGATTTTCAAAATTGGTTACGGTTGTCACAGGAATCCGCGTTGCTGAGGTTGAGGCCTTATCCGCAGCTGTTCGCCGTGGCACTACTTCCGTTGGGAAAATGGAGTACGGAGTAATACAAGGAGGCAGCAGAGAGAAGTTGGGCGGGTCTACAGATTAAGCAAAAGCACGGCGCGACAGCCGTCCAGAATAATAATTCAGGCCGGGGGATTATCAGTCTCCAGCAACAGACAGTCGAAGGCGCGCACGTAGAACCCTGTCGTCCAACTTGGCTGCTGACTGCAGATACTGGCGGTTTCATGACGATCGAACCAATTGAGGCAAGATTGTGGTGGAGCGGCTAAATCCATGGCCACGGTGCCTTTCAGCTCCAAGACCCGAGTGCTGTTCATTTGTCAATGGATCCATGGGATAACCGCGGCGGTCAACAAGCGTCGGAAGGGGATGAATATCCCAAACTTGATGGCCGTGTCAACTTTCAAGTCTCTTGCTTCTCCATGGTGGGAGATGGATGGATGGCATCAAGACACCAGCGACACAAATAACCAGAGCGACCACTGTCGGCGATACAATGGAAGGGTGGCATATTTGTCCGAGATGAGCCATGAAAAGAATCTGCTAGATGTGTAGCCATGTTTGACATGGGCCATGCAATTGCGTGTATGATGTCGAATAGCCCGTTTGTGCCTCAAGATGGGATCCGCCAAGTTGACGTCGGCTTCCGCCCCCCCACCATCTCCCGCACCACTTACTTTTCCATCAATGCGCTCGTCGCGACTCATCAGACTCACGACACAACACACCCCGGCTTCAATGGCGGCCTGAGCAGTATCCCACAAACACCCACCACAATGGATCGCTCGCAGCCCTCGTCGTCCAATCTCATGGGTTCGTCTCCCAATCCGCTCAAACCAGGCACCGGTCCCCCCCCAATCTCACTCGTCGTCATCGGATGCTAACGCAGCCAAAAGACAACCACAACCGCCTCGTCGCCGACATCCTCACGCGCTACCGCACCCTCATGATGCTGGCTACCGTCCAGGCAGAGGGCGAGCGGAACAACGCCACGCCGGAGACCATGGCCGTCAGTGGCATCTCCATGAAGATGGAGTTTGACGGGCTGGTACGCAAATTCCCCCCCCCCCCCCCCCCAAAAAATCAAGCACCGCTCACCATTTTTTCGTAGAACTCGTCCATCAAAGACCTTTTATCGCTGTCGCGCAAGATCAAGGAGCTGTGGGTGTTTGGGCCGCTGGGCCAAGGCGATCCTGACCGGAAGGCCAAGGACGCCCAGATTGAGGAGGACGTCGCGCTGGTCTCGGCCCTATTGAATAGTCTCGATGGCCGGCGGATGCGAGAGCTGGCGCAGAAGTGTGGTGGTTCGTGGGAGGTGTTGGTCAAGGAGGACGCTACGACGGCGAAATGAGCTTGGGTTTTTTCATTTTTATTTTTATTTTCCAACAGCACGGCGGACAAGATATCTACAGGTGATGGGCGTTAGGTGGAAATACCCTTGGGGGCTAGGAAGCGTTTTCAATCAAGGAGCTTAGTTGGAATTTCAAAGGCTTTCATTTCTTCAAGTCATATTCTTGTATCCTACTCCCACGACAGATTCGTCTACCTAGGCACATGTTTATCATCGATTTTAACCCTCACCGCCCTCTGGGTTTTCATCCTCGTCGCCCAGCGCCTTGTCCACCTCGGTCTTGTCGCTCTCCTTGTGCAACTCGGCTACCTTTGTTCCGCCGGCAGACAGCCACAGAAAGTGGTTCGCCTTGAACTGGTCAATCTGGTTGTAGAACCCGTGGAACCTGCCCATCTCGTTAGCAAACGGCCCTTTTTTTCCCCCAAACATGTGAGCATTTTCAAAACCATCACTTACGTGTTCTCCTTTTCTTCCACCTCGAAAATCCTACTGTAGATGTGCTTCTGCTTAAAGGCCTCCAGGCGCTCCTCGTATTTGCCAAAGTCAATCGTCTCCTTGCCGAGGCTGTCCCTGGCCCTCCTGTTGTAGTTCTCGAACACGGGTCGTTCCAGCAAGAGTCCCAGGCCGGGGGCTTTCGGGATCGCCATCTTTTGCTCCTGGTACGAATCGCCGACTCTATCCAGGGTGGTGCCGCAGCGCACCATGAGGGATGCCAGGCCGACCATCTTGCGGATCTGGTGCATCATGAAGCTCTGCCCGTGGACCTTGAGCGATAGCCATTCCGTGTCGCCTATGATGATTGGCTTGGGATTCACGGTAAACGACTTGATGTGACGGCGCGCCGAGGGGTCGGAAAAGGTCTTTTGGATGGTGAAGTTGTGGAAGTTGTATGTGCCGGTGTACTTGTCGAGCACCTGCTGCAGGCGCCGCAGGCGCTCGGGGGAGACGCGGTACCGCCGTTTGGCGGCAATGTACGTGGCTTTGATGTCGCGGAGGGCAAAGTCGATGGGGCCAAGTTCGCGGTGTTTGGGTTTATGAGTCTCGAGGCTGGCTCTCTTGGGTTCTTCTGGCTTGTCTGCTGCCTCCTCAGCATCGGGGACGTGGCTCTGCTCAGCCTCGGCCTTTTTGTTATTCTCGTACTCCTCCGCCTCCTGGGCGTGCACCCGCTCCATGACAACGGCTCTCAGCTCCGGGTCCAGGCCGGCGAGGATAGGCTTGATCTCCTTCTCTTCAACATCTGCCCAGAAGTCCTTGACGTCCGCCATCGCAGCGGCCACTTCGTCCTCGGCGCCGTACTCCTTGTTGAGCTTCTCGCACTCCTTGGCCAGGTACGTCTGCGGATGGGGCGGCAACAGGCAATAACTAGGCAGCAAGTATTCGTAGAAGCGTGAGTCGCAGTACTGGTAGCAGTTGAAGCTGTTGTTGGTTCTCTGGATCCCCCAAATGCGAATCTGCTCCGGCAGGTGCGCATTGATCTTGTCCACGATGTCCTCGTCCTCGATGATCAGCTTCAGGCTAATCACGTTGCCCGCGGCATGCACTCCCTTGTCCGTCCGGGCGCACCGCGCCAGACTCGATTTGCGGGGGTCGTCGGCGTTCGCCTTGGAGATGGCCTTGGCGTCAATGAAGGCTCTGAAGAGATCTCTTTCAATCGTCGGCTCGTCGCCATTCACTTGCATGCCCTTGTATCCCGTGCCGGAGTACCCAATCATGACGGCGACCTTGCGCTTCGGCCGGCGCTCTTCCGAAGCGATTTCCTCCTTGGAGAAGGGGTTCTTCTTTTCCGAGTTTCCTGACTCGCCGGCCTTGTCGCTCAACTTGCGGCGCTTGAATTCGCGCCAGTCGTCCTGCTTCTTGCGCTTCTTGTCGTTTTTTAGCTGGCGGCTACAGGCTGGTCAGCGTCAGGTCATGTTTGCGAATTTTCTGCATGTTCTACAAGGACAGAAATGTGCGGCGACTTACCTCCGTTCTGCTCGCCCCTTTTCTCCTCGCTTCTTTCCGTCGTGATTGTCGCCAGACTTCTTTTGATCCGGAGTGGCATCGCCAGACTCTGTGGCCGTGGTATTGGGCGTGCCATTGACCGTAGAGGCATTGCGCTCCACGGCAGGGCCGCCGGTCTTAGCGGGATGTTCGTCGCCGGCCGCCATAATTGCATCGAGATTGGCAAGCTTGTTGGTTTCGTGGCGGGCGCGAGCTTGCCTTGTGCAGAGTGACGAGATGTACTCCGTACTTGTGTGTCGGTCAATTGGTGAGGCAGAGAAATTTCGATTCGGTAACTTATCGGTGGGGCGATAAGACAAGCCACTCAGGCCCGCTGCTAGTAGCTTTTTGCCTACCCTACACATTTGCTTCTTGACGGGACGTGATGCAAATTTGAAAGTACTTTGCAGTTTGGAAAACACGTTGCAAAATTGAGATACGTCAGAATCACCGAGTGTGTATTCCTTATCCATGGACGCCCTAGCTTTAAGGGAAGAAACTCAAATATAAATTCTAACCAAGAGCAGACTCTTTAAAGCTATCCACAAAACACACGCTGCAATAATAAGCGGCCATGATTGAAAATGAATTATTATTTGTTGGTCTACCAGGTATATCAGCGACGGCATGGAAAGGAAGAGGTGGAACATTGCCAGGCCTGTTCTTAACACATCAAGCTTGGCTATTTTACGGCGACATCATCTCAATCTATCCAGGCGCCGGCCGGATGCTTTCCGAAAACCGCGGGTTGCTTCTTGGAGGATCACATATCCGGGTTACAAACTTATAAAGACTTCCTAGAACTAGGTTTGAGAGCACGCGGTACAGAACTGATTTTGCCTCTTGCAGCGCCAAGTCACCGAGGCAGGATTCGCGCGCATCTCAGTTGTGCATATGTCACGGATCACCTGATGTAATAGCGCCGGAGATGACGGGACAAGAACGGGGGCCGCATGGCAGCACGGCACCCTCAAATCAAGTGAGCTGCTGGCATGTTGCATCCAGCCGTGTGTCCTATGTAAGAATAGATGAATTGAGTGCTCCTCGCAGTTATTGAAGTGACCTGTTCCCATGCCAACGTTGGGTTTTTCCTAATAGAACTATCTGCTCTTCATGTGGCTTGTGATGGTACGCCCGGGTTGAGGATAGTAAATATATGCTCACCCACTCGTCAACACCGGAACCAGACATTCGGTTGTTTAGTACTGATGGCACTGTAGATTCTAGCCGTAAAAGAAAAAGAAAAAGATCAGGCACATCTGTTTGGCAAGCCGACTTCCTTGCGCCATCCTGTTTACGGCTCCGATCGGCCCCTGCAGACTCCGCCTTCATTCTACAAAAGCAGTTTTGTAATATCGCAACTTGCCGATCATGCATACACGGACAGTGCTATATCCAAATTTGGCCATTGGCCTCCAGAAGGGTTCTCCAGAAGATACCCATCCACCAACTCCCACGCGGCAGTTCCTGTTACGGAGGAGGTGTGGCGTCGGCCTGGGTGCGATGCGACGGTCTAGCGGCCCAGACACATGACGATGATGGCTTGTGGCTGTTCCTCGGGGTCGGTCCGCTTGCTGGATTGCGATAGGAAGGGCGGCGTGGCATATTCTTGCGCAACCCCCAGTTTTCAGTCCGCTGCATGGCTTGGACTCTTTTGGGCTCACCGACTACCCATGGCTTGCCCAGGACCCGAAGCGATCCCCCCCCTTCTTCCCGGTTTTTACCTCTTCTTCCTCAGACTGCGGGAGAAATTGAGCCCGAATGAGATGTTGTAGATTAGATGCGTGGGCGAGTGGCGAGGCCCGGGGGGGTGATACCAACGAGGTCCATCGACCAGGTTGAATTGGGACCCTTCTCGGCTTGGCACGGATGAGGTAGTTTACTCAGCTCAAGTCAATAAATGTCTCCAAGGCCCTGTTTTGCTGTTCATCCTTTCTCTTTTAAGCTCAACCTTTCCGTTTCTGTAAAGGAAAGAACAACAGTCTCGGTTTGGGAGCTGCATGACGTGACCCTGCGTCGGCGCTGCGCTCGAGTTGCATTTGGTTCTCTTTTTTTGGCCCGTACTAGCGGCTCGGGAGGAAACATAATCGGAGTCGAGCCGTTGTCTCGACCCTTTTTCGCCCTGTCAAGATGACAAAGTTCAAGATGGAAGTTGTGGCTGCGGTGGCTGCTTGGGCGTTGACGTCTGCCTGCACCGGTTTGCCTGCGGCTCGCGATCTCGTCCCGGGCCTCTGCCCAAGAGACATTGGCGAGGCCCAGGAGCTTCAGAGCAGTCTGTCGCCCGGCGCCAAGGTGTACTTCCCCGGCTCGGCCGAGTTTGACGATGCGTCGACGCGCTGGTCTACGCTGAGCCCGCCCACCGTGAATGTCGTCGTCGTCGCTGCGACGGCCAAGGACGTCTCCGAGACCGTAAGTGAGCACCGCCCGACTACGAGGGGCTTCCTCTAATCGCGGCGCTAGGTCAAATATGCAAACAAGAAGAACCTGCCGTTCCTGGCGTACAATAGCGCTCACGGGGCCATCACCACCCTGGGCACGATGCAGTCGGGCGTGGAAATTTACCTCGACCAGCTCAACACCATTGAGGTCGCCCTGGATGGACAGACGGCCACGATTGGAGGCGGCGCGCTGTCCAAGCACGTGACCGACACCCTGTGGGATGCGGGCAAACAGACAGGCAAGTGAGCTGTGACCAGACGTGTAGGAAAAAAAAAGACAAACTAACTTGTCGAACTGGCACAGTCACGGGAACCTGCGAATGCGTCAGTCTCATGGGACCAGCTCTTGGAGGTGGCCATGGCTGGCTCCAGGGCCATCACGGCCTCGTTGCCGACCAGTTTGTGTCCATGGACGTCGTCTTGGCCAACGGGGAGTTGCAAACTGTTGACTCCAAGTCGGATCTGTGGTGGGCGCTCAAAGGAGCAGGCCACAACTTTGGCATCGTCACATCCGTGACCACAAAGGTCCACGACATCCAGCACCGCGACTGGGCCATTGAAACCATTGTCTTCTCCGGCGACAAGGTCGGAGCCGTGTACGACGCCGCCAACAAATACCTGCTCCAGAACGGCACACAGGCCGCCAATGTCATCAACTGGTCATACTGGCTCCATGATGCCACCGCCGACCCCAACAACGTAAGTCAGCCTGTGCCGTATTGTACGCTCCAGCGAAATAGTCCGTGGTAGCTGACCTGTGCCGCGTACAGCCCATCATCCTCTTCTACATTATCCAGGAAGGCGTCAAGGCAGTCGACGCCAAGTACACCCGGCCCTTCCACGACATTGGTCCCATCGCCGTGACGCCCATCAGCGGAACGTACAAGGACCTCGCCGGCTGGACGGGCATTGCTCTCACGTCTCCCCCGTGCCAGAAGGCCGGCCTCGCCAACCCCCGGTTCCCCATCTATCTGCAGTCATACAACGTCGATGCCCAGAAGGAGGCATACGAGGTCTTTGCCGAGGCCACCCGGGGCTCCTCCGCCTTCAACGGCTCTCTCTTCATGTTCGAGGGATACCCCGTCCAGGGCGTCCAGGCCATCGACAGCAAGTCCAGCGCGTTCGCCTTCCGCGAGGCTCACCTGCTGGCTGCGCCCTTGATCACCTACAAGCCCGACGGGGCCGATCTCGACAAGAAGGCCGGCGATCTGGGCAACCAGCTCCGTGATATTCTCCACAAGGCCAGCGGTCTGTGCAATGTCCGAGCATATGTCAACTATGCCTACGGCAACGAGAACCCCAAGGTGTGGTACGGCAGTGCGACGTGGCGCCAAGACCGACTGAAGGCCCTGAAGGACAAGTATGACCCTTCAGGCAAGTTTAGCTTCTTCGGACCAATCGCATAGAGAGAAGTGAGAGCCATATAAGGGGCGGATAGAGGCGGCGAAATATCGTCCGCCAAGTATGTACAGCATGGCGAGGTTGAAACGTGCAAAAACCCAAGGTAAATAATTATATATATAGAGAGCCATATCTTGGGCCATGAACAGACTCCCTTGAGTTTCTTCTACAGGGATGAGCCAAAGTAAAACAGGAGGATGCACACTGACATATGCGAGCCCGTCTCTTTCCCCTATTCGAGTTTTCTCTATTTTTCTATCCCCACTGAGGTCACATCGTTGTGAATGGTATAGCTAACCCAACTCCGAGGGTTTCTCCCGGCTCGGACGGGAAGTCTCTTCTGCGAACACGCTACTCAGGATGAGACTGCGCTTGGAATACTAAAATGTGCGACACAGCCATGCTGGTACAGATGTCTGCTCACAACTAACAAACTAACATGTGCCGGCCACAGATGACGATATCGATTGGAACGCTGAGCGAAACGGCGAGAGGATAATTTTCTCGCACAGCCCCGTCACGATCTACCAGCGGGCCTCTGTTACAAACACAGCAACCGGCTTGTCTATCATGAGCCACTTGGTAGCACGCAGCCACCGCGCTCACCGCGTTGAGTAGTTCCACCACCACGACGCAAAAGGGAATGGCAACGTAGCTTCCTCCACAGACAGGGGTTGTGATAAAATGTGCTCTCTCCCCCAGTTCAGAAGGCCGGGCGCCGTATTAGTAGTAGTCAAGCCAGGAACCAGACACATGGCGACAACCTCCGTCATTAGCTTCCTGTCCCTTCTCCGCGGGCCGAACTGTCCGCTTGACTCGCGGAATTCGGTCAAGAGAAGAACTGCGGTCCGCGAGAGGGAAAAGTGCGCTCCACAGGCGACCCAGGCTCTCGGCGTTTCGGGCATTTTCGTCCCATCGGCATGTTTTGATTCCTCCGAACTTAGGGTCGATGAGGGTTCAGTGTATAAACCTGCAAGGCGTTCTCTTGGGGAAATCAGAGATATATAAACCATGGCCCCGATTGTCGATTTTGACAGCCAACATGTCTGGTTTGAGGCTCGACATCTCGGCTCCCGAATTTCCAAACTGTGGAAAAGAAAAGGCTGTCCATCAGGGATGGCTGGTCAAGTGCCGGGGATACTGATGCCAAGGGACGATAAATCAGCCTGGGGGGGACATGTTGTAGTACTACTTCCTCCTCCCTACTCCGTATACTATCGTGCCGTCAAGCGTTGCTTGGAGAGTAAACAGTTCCTGGAACCCTTCACACACGAGTAATGCTGTTTCACGGCCCTAGTAGGTTGCGGTGAAGAATCTCTCTTCTACTCTGGAAGCATGTCAGTCCCTTGGTGCCCATGGCGGCGCGCAACAAGACGCAGCCGGCCTGCAATGTTGCTCAAGTACCCGGCTGCTTCTTGATATGGCGCCATGTGCGGTGGGGTGTAATGCAACACTCGAGTCAAGTGGCTTTAATGTCACATTTGACAGTTTCCTTCAAGGACTGTGCGTTAGTCTCGTCGGCAGCGGCGCCGAAACGTCACGAGAAGCCTTCCGTGCGGGACTTGTCCTGTTGTCTGTGCCGTGCTTCCTCAGCCAAGTTTTTTTTTTCCCTAGACTCGGAACTAATTTGTATACAATACGAACCATTGCACAGACATTCTCCACGTGGGGAATCTGCTCGCTTGCTCTCCCCTGGTGGAGATGTGATGTACATGAATCATTTCCCAGGAACGCGGATAGCGCCACAAAAACACCATGTTGCTTATGTACGGAGTATGAGCCAGGTTTGTGGGCCACGATTCCGGCTCTTGTCTCCCTAGGCAAGCCCGCCGAGCAGGCTGTAGCGAATTAAGCCGGCGGGAAGATTGCTGCTGATCCCCTGCTTCCGGTGTCGCATTCGGTGCCAAGTCCGGTTCGAGTAGAGCTTAGACAAAGGCGACGTGGGATCGCAGAGAGACGATGGCGCTAATCGACTCTGTTCAGGGTCTTAAACACCCGGAAGCCCCTTCTCATCCCGGGGTTTGTCTTCTCTGGACCTGGATGCGCCAGGACGGTCTTCTCCCCCGCGTATACATGTCGATTTGGATATGGCAACCGGCGATTCCTCTGATCCCGCCGCTCAGGCAGCGGCAGCCGAGGCGGCATTTCACCATTTCACCATTGAGCTGTGGACTTTGTATGGCATTGGCGTCTTGGCGACCCTCCTGAGAACGTATGCTCGAATCCGTGCCGTGGGAGCCAGGAATCTACGAGCAGATGACTATCTTGTCTGGGTCGGCGTGGTGAGTCCAACAAACTGCCTGCAAACGCCGAGAGAGCCTTCAGCTTTGACTGACTCTTGATGGCCGGCTCTCAGGCTTTCTATACTGCCCAGGCGGCGCTCGGTTACAGTATCGGCAATATTGCTCACGGCCTGGCCAACAATGGCATGTCGGATGCCGAGCGTGTGGCCCTTTCACCCAGCGATCCCGAATACCAATCGAGGTACGTGGCCTGTGGACGCTGTTGATTGAAGCGAGATGCTGATGTTGTACGTATCTGATTAGGGTGATTGGCTCCAAGATTCAGGTTGCAGGTTGGACAACCTATTCTCTCTTGATCGGCTTCTTGAAACTATCCGTGCTCGCCTTCTACATCCGACTAACGGTATGGGCTCGCCAGCGGTCTACATCCATGTGGGCTACCAAGACATGGACAGATTTTCTGACTCTTGTGGATAGGACGGACTTGGGCGGCCATATAGGATCCGCATCATCGTTGGATTCATGCTCGTCATCGGGACAACCGTGGCCTGTATCCTCACCAACTTCCTTGCCTGCCGACCGTTCAGCAAATATTGGCAGATCAACCCGGACCCTGGAAGTAAGCGCGTTCCCCCACGGCGTCAAAACCTCTGGGCAAACTTTGTACTAATCATGGCGAGTTAGACGCGTGCCAGGCCGCCGTCTCGCGACCCATCATCTGGGTCTCCTTCGCGGCCAACGTCTGCACCGACATATACCTGATCCTGATCCCGCTCCCCATGCTCTGGGGATCCAGCTTGAAAATGATCAAGAAGATTGCCTCGACAGTCGTCCTCGGGGCGGGCATCTTTGTCCTTGTGTGCGCGACGCTAAAGAGTGTTTTCGTTCTAGTGGTAAGGCTTTCCCCATGAGCTATAGAGATGTATACAGCTGGCTTCTCTGACGCCCGGTCTTTTCGTTTCTTTAGGACCCTGTCAACGGCGCTCAGATTGCCGGGTCTTGGGGCACGAGGGAGGCATTTGTGGCCGTCATCACGACCAACCTCCCCATGCTGTTCCCTCTGTTCCGGGTCTGGCTCACGCCCCTCTTCGGAAGCGCCTTGGGGTCGTCCAAGAAGTCGTACAAATCGCCAACCGGCCTCGTGACAATTGGAGGTGGCGGCGGCTCGTCGACTCCTCGAAACCGGCCGCGCACGGCAAACCCCGTCGCCACAAACATGACGTTTAGCGAGAGCGAGGAACGCATCGTGGGGGCCATCAAGATGGATACCGTGAGGAACGCGCGGCCCTCGAATGCGATTGTCGTGTCGAATCAGGTGGAAGTCACGCACTCGGACAGGAATAGCCAGATTGACGGCCGTTACGCCCAGCATACTCACGAGCACTGGTGAAGACGGACACCCAACCCAAAAAAAGGGACAGAAAATAGTCGGACAAGGAAGAGAATTGAATAGAATATTCATGCGCCACGACGGTTGGCATGTTCGTCCCGCCGTTGCTTCTATCACGAGTTAGGCTGGCGAGTTTTGAACGTGATGGGAGAAACGACGAGCCGACTGCTGCAAAGAGGGTGCGGCAGAGGTCACAGATTCCCCGAGTGTGTAACGACGGAAGATTCCTTCTCGATGAAACCTGACGGTGAAGCGTGGTTCATCCGACATTACTAGGCAAAGGCTTCGTGAGCAGGCCGGCAACTCGTCAGGGGTTCATTCAACATGCGACAACACGGCCTGTATGCAACGCCCGGAGAGATTTGTGATGCCCAAAAAGTCATGTATATGCGGCACATTTACAATGTACACTGGACATGATAGAAACCCCTCACCCACTGCAGGACAATGCTGGGGCGGGAAAAGTGTTTAAAATAGTACGTCAATGGCTTTGTTGCTACCATGGTTCTTTATTTCCAAGCACCCGAGGAGATATTCACTTCGCCAGCGAGGGCGTGTATACATTTACAATATCAACCAGGTCCCCTTCTTTGCAGTACATGCCAGCTCTTGATGTCCAAAACGCCATTTTCCCTCGTCCCTGCGTGCCCAAAACAGAAAAAACAAAAAAAAAAAGCCAAAACGCAACCACAGCATGAATCCACGTAACATACAGAAACCCTTCGTATCAAGATTTGCCTTTTAGAACAGGGGCAAGCGAATTAAACTCCCCTCTGACAGAAAGGGCACCCTAACCACAGGCACCCCATTCCTCAGCCACCACCTCGCGAGCTTGCTTCGTCTGCCGCCGCTTGTGAGGACAGGCCAGCGAACACCGGTAAGCCAAGCCGCCGTCGGAGTCCCTGTATGACTCCCGAGACAATAAACACCCGTTGAATCTGTACACGGACACGCCAAGCACTTGGTCGCCGTCGCCGTCGTCCACGACGAGGTGCACTTTTCGCCTCTGGCTCGTGGGTGTGATCCTGGTAGGAACGGGGGCGATGTCGGTCACCGGCGTGGCGTTCACAAACACGCCCATTGACGCACAATCCACCGTCTGCCCGGCTCTTTCGTCCGCCGTGGAAGTCGGTGCCCAAGAAGAGGTACTAGCTGTAGTTGCCTCTGCCTGGCGTGTTGCAACGGTAGTTTTGGCATCTTGCGGCGCTGCCTCTGTGGCGGATGACAGAAGCGGCGCCGAAGAAGGCCTGTTGCCGGATATCATGGTGAAGCTGGTTCCATTCGTTCTGTCATGTTCTGTCAGAATCTTGCCCGGCCCTTTTTCTGTCAACCCCGGCTTTGGGGACTACTTACTTGTTGGACGCAGTCTCGTTGCTGCTCCAGTCAGGGTTGATGTTGCTGTCGTGTATTCTCGCCACGACGGCCGCAACAATAAGCGACACGAGGACCGTGATGAAGATGGACGTCAGCAGCCGTATGCAAAGCGTTCGCCTGACCTTGCGTCGGGCCTTGACGTGGTCCGGGTCGTCTTCCTCTTGGTACAGAGGCGGTGCTCGCTCGGCACCGTACGCAGGAGGCTGCCGCGGGCTGGACGGTATGCTCTCCGCCAAGGTCGAGTCATCAGATGCTCGGAAGGAGGAGCCGTTGTCCTTGTTTTCTGCGCCGCAGGTGCTTGCTTGCCGTGGAGTTGGGTACCGTATCGGCGGACCGTGGACGTCCATCGTAACGCCGCGGATACGTGACTTTTTGCCGGTTCAAAGCGGCAGCACGGATTTGAAAACTTCTTCGTTCTACTGAGAACGTCTGATGGTGTAATAGGCGGCCACGCATGCTGGTGAAGCTCATCATGAAACTTCTGCCCAGTGCGACGATGATAGTGATGCAGGACCCAACGACGGACTGCAAGGGGTCAAAAAGCAGAACCGGTGACGAGGCCTCTTTCTTCTTCTTCTTCTTCTTCCCTCTTGCCGCATACATACGGCCTCCCATCTCTGGACAGCTTTCACCTGCTCTTCGTCCCCCGCCCCCAAGATGTGTCACGCCCGCGGCTTCACGCACTCTGGCTGGCCCGGTCACTGGAATGCTCCAACGTCAGGAATGCTGGATGTCTACGAAAAGCACCAACCACAACATTAGATGAGAGTCACTTTTTTCAAATTAGGAAAGGGATAGAAAATCTCGGGGAGCTAATTCCTTTCATCTGGCTTACTAGGTCATGTCAGGGAACGGTTGAGCGAGGCGTGAACGGGACTAATGACGATGTAGGTGTAAGAGAATCGCTCGGGCTAACGGCATTTTGAACTGATATCATACCTACAATCAATTCAATGCTGTCATGGCTTCTTTCCATTGGGTGTCGGGGCTGTGCCATGTTTCATTTCGTCGCAGACTTGCCTGTGAGCGAAAGGGCCTCGAACTGGGGATGCTAGAGAGACCACCCGACCATTGCTCGCTGACCTGACCTGACCTGACCCGACTGTGGTAGCAGGAAAATAACTTGCCAAGGGCCGAGAGACACAGGCGATTACCACGGGGGAAGCGCACATGGTCTTGAGTTTGAGCTGTTTTTCGGGTCAACTGGGCTCTGAAGCCGTACAACATCACGGCAGGTTCCGGAAGCTCTTGCTGGAAACACCGAGCTTTGCGACCGCGGGAGGTGAGAGGGGATGAGGTTTCACAACTTGGTGCTTTAGTTGTACATCCGTTTACTCCTATAAAGATCTTATTTACCTGCCATTTGAACTTGTAACTGGCTAAACGAAAATTTGAAATAGCCGTTGTTGGATGGACCCGTCATCTTCGCTATGTTTACTAACTGTTAGCCGGCGAACTCTTGTCATTGATCGCACGTTGAACCCTGTAAACGGGCAGAAGGAACGGTTTTGGCAAAAGCAACGCGCGGAGCTTGCGAGACCGCCCACAAAGATTTACTCCCGGCACTTTCTTGATGGGCCAGCTAGAAACCTCGACAACCGTCTCTAGTTCCGCTAGAACCTGGAGACTGTTATGAAAGATGATGAGTCGATTTGCAGGGGACTTCTGCCCTGAGCTTTTGGGGGTTTCACCCTTCCTTGGACCCCGAAGTTCATGTCCGCATAGCGTCCTTTTGTCGCGGACGGTTACGCGGGGGCCGGCCAATTTATCGTTCTAGCCTCCTAGTTGATAAAAATCTCCTGGAATAATGAATATACTCTTAAATTTTCTGACTTCGCTGTTGATTTGCGGGCCTGCTGTGAAGAGTCTTTCCTTTTTGTAATATAGCTGTGTCACTAACAAGAGGTAGTTGGGCCGGAAACTGCGAAGTTGGTAAAAAGCATGCCTCGAGGCCGGAGAAGCAAACAAAAGACGCCTTTTTGTTAACCCAGCGCCATGCGGTCAAGAACCGCCCCGTGTGATATCCACATTGTATCCTTGTCTCCAAAGAATATCATCTTGGAAACAAGGCCGTATACAACGATAGAGAGGGGGCTTGTCGGAGCTAGCAGCAGTCAAGAGGGCACACTTACAAGTTGGATATCGTGGGTATTCGGCCAAGGGCCGCTATTGCTGCATCTTTGTGCTCCATGGCGCAGTTCCCAAGCCCGATAGCCACTCTGACAGGGGCTGACATCTCGTGCATGAGGAGAAAGGCTCTGTTCACCGTTTGGCATGTATAACACCAACGTCTCTTATCAATTGTGGTCATCTCCACAATGCCCTCATATCGTTCTAATTTCGTGGTGACAGACGAACCAATCAGTCGCGTAAAACTAGACACACCGACGCAATCAATTCTTGCAGTGTCTATCAACAGTTAAACCAGTTAGTATTCTGAAGGCCGCCGGACCAGCTGGCTTGGGTATCCGCAATGCCAGCTATATACACGTAGTAGAAATTCGGTTTGTCTTAGTGAGCATCCCCAGATTTCTGTTTGCCAATGCAACAATTCATCATCTCTTCACTCTTCGCTATGTTAGCGTCCATAACTTGCAGGAAAAGAAGGTGAGATTTTCCAGATCAAAATGGGCCAGGGCGGAGACTGCGAGCCCCGTTTGGGTAAAAACCCATGCTTCGTTGTCTTTGATGCCTCAAATTCCAATCTTGGTGTCAGAGCTGTCAGTTTCTTTACTTCCCCCGGCGGTCGCAAGCCTGAAGCTCCCATCAGCGACTGATGGAGCATGCACACAAACATGTCGTAAAGATGGGCTGCTGTCGGCGTTCCGAAACAAACGAAATCGTTGAGGAGATAAGACTCCTTGGTCGCCGAATCTTCAAGAATTACAAGGCTGCAGTTTTTGTGCCGTGGGAAATCGGCGGACGAAAATTAAAGCCGGTCTTGATACTGATACTGTCAGAAGTCGGCAACTGCCCCGAGCAAGATTTGCAACGGCAGTTGAGAGGCGTTCCAATCTTGAACTAGCTTCTGACAGGGATATCTTTCTTTGGCAAACGCAGTGGACACGTAAATCTCCGTGTAAGCATTCCCCCCTCATGCTCCATAAGAAAGCGGCTTGATATCCTTGTCCCTGCTTGCCATTATATGTATCTCCGATGACCAGCCAGTGTTTGAATGTTCCCGAAATGATAAGAAAAATGACCATCTAAGTCTCCTTGTCGAGGCGGAAAAGTGTAGTATGGCTCCTGCGCCTTTTGCGCTGAATCAAGTATGCACTATACATGTGATAGGCGGGCGTGAAATGCATAAATTTCGAGAAATTTGCTCTAAAACTCGCCACGTATAGCCATCCTATGCCGAACATCACGTCATTTGTGGAAAATATCCGTTTACAAAGGGAACACAGCCCACTCGGGCTCATTTCTTTCGCTCATGCCTGGCTCAGGACCTGCCGCTGTGCTTGTTATAGGGGCGCGAATGCGCCACGGTCAAGAAGTGGCCGTTGCAAGGGGAAGAGGGCAATTACAGCGATATTTGAGTTGATTGAAAGGGGGGGTTGTGGATACTTGTTGCCCATGCCTCCGCGTGGTGGTGAGGTCGTGGCAGTTGCTACGTTCAGCAAGCCAACCGAGACTTTTTACAATCTAGAGAGGAAAATCCTCATCTCCCATATCCTTGCTCAAGAATAGAAGTAGAAAAATTCTATATTCTCCGAGATAGGCGTGACCTCAGGGGTTCAGTCAAAGCCCAACAGAACAAGATCTAAGACCATTACAGGACGGCGAGAGATGAGGCGATTCGGATGTTGTGCAGGTCAAGCGCTTCGATGTGAGACAAGAATGTCACTCGACCTCGCCATCGAAGAATTTTCACCAGTACGTTCGTCTTCATGGTTAGCAGGCGGCACATGCTGTTGAGCTGAGCCGCGGCGTCGTAATCCCGGACAGCTGAGTCTTGATGACAGGGTGCATTTTTCGTTTTTTGAAGACGCTTTGGGCATCCTATGTCAGCCTCGAAGTCCGTGGCATTCCGGGGCTGTCATATCCTGGCCCCTGGAAACGCCATCGCTGTGCCAGAGCTCGGTTGTTTCACAAGAATTTGCGGCAGATGCCAATGCAATCCGTCACCGCCATGCCCAAAGACCAGCATCGTGGGCTGGCCAGGTGGCTGATAGTGTCATCCCATCCAATAGCACCTTTCAGAAGGGAGATCTGCCCTGGTCGGCGTCTAAATTTGGCCGCGTAACACTTGACGTCTTATATCGGCTGTATACCGAGCCTGGCATCACCGAGCTGAGGTGGTGCCTGGTCGAAGAGATTTGGAGCTCACCTTCAGATTCTTCAGAGATCAAGGCAAAAGAGTCCGTTCAAGTGCAACGAACCTCGGAGAAAAAAGTCATTCGCGTATGATACGTACCCCTACGTACCCAGGTACCTAGGTAGGTATGCATCGTATCATACCTACTTCCTTGATCAAAGTCTCGGGGAGAGATGTCTCTAAAATAGGACATGGGAACTGTCAAAGTTCTTGTCGCGAGAAGTCTCGCGCACTGGCTGTTTTGGGCCTGGTGTGCGGAAGTGATTGGCATTGTTCACGGAGCGGCCCCCACCGGCGTCCCGTTTTGGACTAGCTCGGTGATCTCTTGTCTGCCCTTGATGGCGCAATTGTGATGGCGAGATCACAAGAAGCGTGTTACTTGTCGGTTTTGCCAGGGCCGAAGCTTGGTGATGTGCAGGCTTGTTGTCTTGGGGCTAAACCCAGATGCTAGGTTCATCGTCTGCATGTACTCCGCACGCATACTGTCTGGCTCTAGGCATTCTGTCGGTGAGGCTCCGGCACACACAGTATGGCACAGTAGGATAAGCAAATTGACCATGAATGTCTCGGCGAATAGGACACATGAAATTGCGGAAAGAAAAAAAAAGGAAAAAAGGTCATGTCAGTGGTCCGTGCTGCCAAATGTTATCTGGCTCTGGCTCTGGCTCTGGCTCTCAAACTGGTTCGGCGGTCGGTGGGACCCGAGAGCCGGTCGCAAGACGAGGCAGGAGCCACTTGGGTGCGGCAACTGCCAGATTAACTGCCATTTTGGAACCCCCGCTATCCGACTGTATGGTGCAAGTGGACTTGCCGCCACCGCTAGTCCTCGCAAGCCTCGTGGTTCTGCTGCCATCATCTTAGCAGCCGAACCGTAATCCAACATTCCAGCCCTCGTCCATGCTCGATTCTTCGACTTGTCCTCTCCCCTTGTGCTTACAATATACCTCTCTGAGAGCACGTCATCGCCTTCCTTGCACGCACCACCGACGTGAAACACCCATGGCCTTGCACGGCCTCGACAGTATTTAGGCTTTTCTGTGCGCAATTCTCCCCCCGAGACTCTTGCCGCCATGGAAACATCCGCGCACCTCAACGGCCACCGCCAGCATGCGTCTGCGGTATTGACTCCGAATCATGACCATCACCACCTCTCCTCGTCCAATACTCGGGACGATATCGCGCCAGACCCTCTCTTAGAATCACCGAGCTCGCCCTCTCCCGACCTTTCTCCTGCCCAACAACCTTCTCGAGATAACTGCGACCGGACGAGACCTCAAGAGGGGGACAACACCCGCCTCAAGAAGATGGCCTCCGAACTTGTGGTGAAAACGGTCAGCCCGTTTCTCAAGGAACACATTCCTGGACTTTATGCGCCCGTTGGAAAAGACAACACCAAGACTGGCGCCAAGAGTCCTGCAACCTGGACCCGCATCAAGGATCCCAATACTAAATTCTGTTATCGACATCGTCCTGATTCAAAGTGTCGCCGAGCAGCAGACGAGACCAAGATGGGCTTTATCCAAAGTGTAGGTTACCTCTCAACATTGCCAGACAAGACGACAAGGCATGAATTGACTCATTTCTTCACAGGAACTCAATAGCCTCCCCACCGCCGACCAAGAAGCCATTACACATGTTTGGTCGCTTTTCTCTGCCGCACCATCCAAGCAGCGAGAATTGATGTTGCAGGGAATCATCACTCAATGTTGCTTCCCCCAACTGTCTACCGTTTCTCGTGAAGTTCAGGAACAACTCAAGATTGACTTCCTCGCTGCCTTGCCGACGGAACTGTCGTACAAGATTCTCAGTCATCTCGATACCGTTTCGCTGTGTAAAGCTGCTCAAGTCAGTCGACGATGGCGCAGCTTAGCAGATGATGACGTCGTGTGGCACAGAATGTGCGAGCAACATATTGATAGAAAATGCACCAAGTGCGGCTGGGGCCTGCCGCTCCTCGAAAAGAAGAAACTCATGGCCTGGAGCCGACATCAAACTGCCCACCACCGCCACGATCAGGCAGAACGCGCGGGGCCCTCGGTTGAGACAAATGGCCACAGTGCCGAATCTCTCGAATCGAACAAGCGATCTAACTCCAGCGCTGACGACGGGCCATCCAAGAGACCACGACTGAGTGGTCCTAGCAATTCCCGGTCTCATCTTGACAACGAGCGCAAGTTTCGCCCGTGGAAGGATGTCTACCGTGATCGATACAAGGTCGGGTTTAACTGGAAGACTGGGCGATGTACAATCAAAACATTCAAGGGGCACGAGAACGGCGTCACCTGTCTTCAGTTCGACCACAATGTCTTGGCGACGGGCTCGTACGATACTACTATCAAAGTTTGGAACATTGAGACTGGCGAAGTCATTCGGACGCTACGTGGCCATACCTCTACTGTTCGTTGCCTGCAGTTTGACGATTCCAAGCTGATTAGCGGGAGCTTCGACAAGACCATCAAGATTTGGAATTGGCAGACTGGGGAGTGTCTTAGCACTTTGCAATGTCATACCGAGGGGGTCTTGTCTGTTCACTTTGACGGATGCACGCTAGCCTCTGGGTCAATCGACAAGACGGTCAAGATTTTCAGCTTTGGCAACAAGGAGACCTTCTCTCTGCGTGGCCATACAGATTGGGTCAACCACGTCCGAATAGACTCGCCATCGAGGACAGTGTTTTCCGCGTCCGACGACATGACTGTGAAGTTGTGGGACCTGGATTCAAAGCAGTGCATCAAGACTTTCCGCGGGCACGTCGGCCAAGTACAGCAGGTGCTCCTAATGCCGCCGGACTTTGAGCCAGATGAAATCCCCAGTGACGACAAGGCCGACACCATCTCTGTGCACAGCAATCGCAGCGCGACGCCGACGCCGACGCCAGAGCAGCCGGATGACTCGAGAGCATCTTTCGGCTGTGGCTTTACGCATGACACCACCAGACCTCTGCCTCCACGATACATGTTGACGGGTGGTCTGGACAATACTGTCCGACTCTGGGACATTGTCACAGGCAAATGCATCAGGAGTATGTTTGGCCATGTCGAAGGTATCTGGGGTCTTGTGGGCGACACACTACGTGTCGTGACTGGTGCCAACGACTCCATGACCAAGATTTGGGAGCCTCGCTCTGGAAAGTGTGAGCGAAGTTTCACGGGCCACGCAGGACCAGTTACTTGCGTTGGTCTCAGCGACAGCCGCATGGCCAGTGGCAGCGAAGACGGCGAAGTCCGTCTGTACAGCTTCGAGGGTGAGACCCTCGAAGAACGAGGAACGCCATCCTAATGACTATACCGACCTTAAAATCACTCAGCTCTCTCTTCTCTCTCCCCGGTGGAGGCTTCATTCTCTCTTGCGAGGGCGGTCCTCTCCCCGTCCTTGGGGGATCCCTAGCGCCTCCCAGTCAACATGTCCGGCGGCGGTGGCGACGCAGCTCTGTTTAAGGAGAGCTTTACGGTCACCTAATATGACCAATCCAAATACGATCGTGTTGCCCGCACATGCTGTACATCGGCCCACTCGCAAACTGTGATGGTGCTTGATACCGACATTGAACGAATGCATTTAGACGATAATCTCGAAGAAAAGGGAAAGAAAAAAAAGGGCGTCGTATTTCAACGTTTGGATTCTGTTTGCTGGTTTTGCGCAGATATCGGGGGCGTATTTAGGTGTTTGGTTTGAGATACCACCTGCATGCAGATGCAGATGCTTTACTTTGTATATCAGTGACATGTCCGACCAACGCCAGCATTCTGGTGTGCACGAAGCACTTGAAGGGCTTTTCAAACGGTTAGATGTAGTGAAGGATGGCGTTATGGGGGATCATTGGTACTTGACACGGCGCATGGGCAGGTTGATATAGATAAAAATCCCAGGAATACATGCGTGTTCAACATTGGCTGTGCCTCGGTTGGTGATGAGATGGTGTCTTTTGTTATCCATGGAGAACAGAGATCATGGTTGTGTGACGCGAGTCCTGATCCAATGCAAGAGTGGGATCTGCGGTGTAATGTTTCTCGAGTGGAAGTGTTGGCTCTTCTTGCTTTGGCGCTTTACCCGGGTGTGTGGCTCGTCATTGATGATGCTGGAACAAGTGTGGTTGCAGTTGCAGATTCTGCATGCGGTGTAATAAGCTTGCATTCTTTAGGCCAAGTCTATCACCAGGAATATCTCGGTCACCAGCGCTTTAGCCGAGGAAGTGTTCTAGAAGGCGAAACGCCCGACGGAGATTTTCATTTGTTTAATGCCAATTGAAAAAAAAGGCCATTGTGTGCTTACACGTTGGGATTGAAGCAGCGCGCACATCTATCTACCTAGATATCCAAATAAGCCGCTCTCAATGTTATTGCCCAGGTCTGCCAGACGCATAGAATCTACATGTTTAAAAAAAAAAGGTCCTCTCTCTACATATTGACAAATTGCATGTCCCATCGCACGGCCCAACTTATCAATCTCCAAGCTCGAGGTCAACGTACCTCGGTAAAGGACGGCAAGCCATCGGAGCTGGCACCTGGCCAATTGGATGATCGGAACCATCCAGGTACGGGGCACCCGATCCCTTCCGGCGCTTGGATACCGCTTTGGCATAGTAGCAATTTTGGCACCGCTGTCCTCTCTTTTTTTTGTGTGTGTGTTGTTGTTGTATGGATATATGCAATGATTAATTCCCTGCTTCTGTATGTTTCGCATGGAAAAGATGGTCTGTTGTCTCCTCTCATCCCAGGGCATCGGCAGCGTTGGAGAGACGGCAAGACGGGCTTTGGTTCAAGTAGAGGGAAAGAAAGACCCACCCCGCAATAAGGTCAACTGGTACTAACTTAGTACATATATCACAAGCTCGGCTGGCGGGTGTGGGGCTCGGGCTGGCTGTGGATTTAGCTGGGGAAGACAGACCCGACCAACTTTGGCCATGGCGGACAAACGACGACGGAGCGAGAATGAGGGACCAGCATACCTAGGTGGACGTATTGTAAACATGCGCGAGTCTTGACCAGAACACAATGGTGTCACAGACTACTTCTTGGCATGCTGCTGGAATAACGCCCAACATGCAAACTGCACGACCAGCCATGTCCGTCGGCCACATGGACCGTCACATCCAAGAGCCCTCCGTCCGTCCGGCATTCCCAAACCGCCGCGCAGGAGGAGACCAATCCGACTCCGAGTAAGTGAAGTGGGGGGGGTTCCCCCGGCCCTGCTTCTCCTACCTTGTAGTTTCCCGCAAGATACCAGTTGACATGGTACGTCCCCGATGCGTCACTGGCGGCATCCCACAGCCGCGGGACAGCCGAGCTTATACAAAGCTTCCCACTCCCCAAAAGCCACAACGCATTCTCTCACCAAAGGGAACGTCTTTTGGCTTTCCCAAAGCCGGGGCCCCTTGGAAAAGACCTGGTCTTGTGACTGGCCAAGCATGCTCGGCCGCCCCAGCTAGTTCCACGTTTTTCCCCCCCAAATCTCCATGGCACACCCGATCACGCCCGCCACAGCCCAAGCCCAGAATCATATGTCAAAAGCCAAACGTCCCCGATATTTGCGCGTGTGACTCTTTTTGCTTTCCACCAGACGGTCATCTTCTTCGGTTTTTTTTTATTTTTATTTTCAAACTCTCCCCTCTTCATTACATTCTGCAAAGCTTCGCTGTCATTGCCACCGGTCCAGTAATTGGGTTCTGCTGCCTCTTGGTCTTTTCGCAGAAGGGTAGTGCCGGCATAGGGCCTTTGCATGTGAAGCCTGCGGCCTTGTCGGCTGTGACGCAACGAGCCAACGCTTTGCGACGAGGCGCAACAGCGTTGAACCCGGCCATCAATTCCGTCGTCTGAGCTCGTATTTCGAGGGCTTGAACCAAGGGGAAGAAGGAAAAAATACCATCATCATGCCTCCCAACGACAACAATCGCAAACCGCCGACGGCGGCAGTCAACCTCATCGGTTCGTTGGCCCTACCCGCCCCCCCGAGACGCAATTGAGTCAATGCTAACCAGGACGATTTTTTCGCACAGCCGGAGGCGGCGCCGGCATGATGGAAGCCCTCGTGTGCCATCCGCTGGGTACGTTTCCCCCCAACCCCGTAGCAGACGTTGGACTAACACAGGGCGACGCAAAAGACACAATCAAGGTCCGGATGCAGCTCTCGCGGCGGGCCAGGCAGCCCGGCGCGCCCAAGCGCGGCTTCGTCAAGACCGGGGTGGAAATCGTGCGCAAGGAGACGCCGCTGGGCCTGTACAAGGGCCTGGGCGCGGTGCTGACGGGCATCGTGCCCAAGATGGCCATCCGCTTCACGTCGTTCGAGGCGTACAAGCAGCTGCTCGCGGACCCGGCGACGGGCAAGGTGTCGGGCCAGGCCACATTCGCCGCGGGCCTGGCGGCGGGCGTGACCGAGGCCGTGGCCGTCGTCACGCCCATGGAGGTCATCAAGATCCGGCTCCAGGCGCAGCACCACTCCATGGCCGACCCGCTCGACATCCCCAAGTACCGCAACGCCGCGCACGCGCTGTACACGGTCGTGCGCGAGGAGGGGTTCGGCGCCCTCTACCGCGGCGTCAGCCTGACGGCCCTGCGCCAGGGCACCAACCAGGCCGTCAACTTCACCGCCTACAGCTACTTCAAGGTCTGGCTCAAGGACTGGCAGCCGCAGTACGCCGCCACCAACCTGCCCAGCTGGCAGACCACCCTGATCGGCCTCGTCTCCGGCGCCATGGGGCCCCTGAGCAACGCGCCCATCGACACCATCAAGACGCGCCTGCAGAAGACGCCTGCCCAGCCGGGCGTCAGTGCCTGGGCGAGGATAGCCACCATTTCCGCCGACATGTTCAAGTGCGTTTCTCCCTCCCTGTTTGTAACAAGTCGTCTCCCCATGCTGACGCCTTCACCCTTCCCCGCAGGCAAGAAGGCTTCCACGCCTTCTACAAGGGCATCACCCCGCGTATCATGCGTGTCGCCCCCGGCCAGGCCGTCACCTTCACCGTCTACGAGTTCCTGAGACAACGCATTGAGAAGAGCAACCTGTCTTTTGTTGGCGGAAACTACGAGGAGTAAAAGACGGTAAAAAAAAAAGGATACTGCCAACATTGACCCATCACCCTTTGACATCGTCCTGCGCACAAACAAAATAGACATCCCGTTAAGACCATAGGGGCAGCCCTCCGCAGCCCAAAGCTAGAGGTCGGGCCGCGGCGAGGAACATGACAGATGCATATTGCAAAGGTGCCATTACGTGGTTTACTTCATTTGATTTTTATTTATTTTTCCCCGTTTGTCATGGCTAATGCCGCCTTGTTTTGCATAGAGTAAGGGCCGTACGGAGGATGTTTTGCATTTTCATAGTTGATATCTCGAGTGGGAAATATCCCCCCGTCATTTATAGCAAAATTGAATGTGTTCTTTTACCATCATTTTATTTCTTCTATCGTCATATTCAATATTGTCTAAACGTGCGCGCGCACCGCCTCGTGTACCAACCATAAAAAAAAGAATCACCGACCCGGCCGCTTGGGCCTGCTGAACCCCGACTTGGTAGTAGTCTTGGGATGCAAATCATCCATCACAGACTGCTCAGTGATTTCGCCGGGCTCCTCGACTTCAAACTTCTTCTCCAGGCTCAAGCCAGCCTCCTTGTCTGCAATTTCCAGCACCGCCCGCTTCATCAATGGGTAGAGCATGCGCTTCTTGATTGACTTGTTGCCGGCCGTCAATGGGCACGTGTAAAAGAAGAGGATTGGCGACTGCTCTGCGCCATTGTGCGTGTGCTTGAACCTGTAAAACGTGAATCGGGGCTCCGTGGTGGAAATCGCCTTGGCCAGCTCGGTAATAGACTCTGGCCGGGGCGATTCGGGGACCAGCTCCACGGATTCGCTCTCGGGGTTGATTTTCTGCCCTTTCGTCAGTCCGGCATTCCCTGCGAATTCCCCATTCACCCCTCCCAACTCACCAGCATGGCCACCACGCGTCCGTCGTCCTGCCCCAACTCCTTCAAAGCGGCGACGGCGTTCTCCGCCACAGGCATAGCAAAGCTCTTGCTCAGGTGAATTTCCCTCGTTCCTGTACCAGATCCCGCCTCCTGCTCGGCACGCTTGACCTCACCCAGGGTGCGTTCTTCCTCTGTCAGCGGAGCAGCAAGTTGGGTATGCGCGTCGTGCTTCTTGAACCCGCTTTCACTGAGTTCGTCTGCAGTCGTCACGAAGATCGTCTCTCTGAAATGCTCGGAGCCCAGCTCCCGCACAAGAGTCAGTCTTGTAGATGCAAACAGCATCTTCTGTCGTACGTGCGCAGTGTCCGGAACGTAAGATATTGCTGTCAGACGTGGGATGTCATCGTATCGACGAAGTAGAATGTAGAGGGGGACGTTGGGTTCCAGATGGCTCTGCAAGCTCCCAAGGTTTTCAAAGAATGAGGACCCCTTGGATGGAAGAGTTTTGAGGGGCACTAATGACTCTTTTTCGATGCCAACAATAAGGCCAAAGATCGACGGCGAGGAGAGCAACGAGTTGAACTCGGCTTGGAGCTCCTGCGAGGCTGTAAACAGTAGGTCAGCAGCTTTCCTGGCGCTGCTGGGTCTGAGCATATCTACCTGAAATCCCAGATTGCATCTTGAACTGATTCCCAGCGTATTGATGCAAGCTTGAATTAGCAGTGGTCACAGTTCCCGCTCTGGTTGCAGTAGAGGAATGCGCTCGCTGAATACGTAGGTGGGGGATGCACCGACCGCTGGTTGCCCCGCTACGACCCCGATGATGCATGCTGTGGCGGAGCTGTTGTCTTACCCTGAACCAAAAGCTTAGCGTGCAAATTTGCTTTGTAGACCTTTTTGACAACCCTTTACTCTCACAGCTAGTCATCCAAAATGCCTAGCACTTGGATGGTGCGGTCACCCTCAAACGCAAACATGGGGCACACTGGTTCTAGTTGACATCAAACATGGCTCACATCAATGACAAGTGCGGATACAGAATAAGTATATTTTAGCTTTAGGTACAACTTGTGACAGACATTAGACAGTGGTTTTAGAATAAATACTTTACAACCACTCAGAGGTACTACGTGGCTTTCAACTTTCACTCCAGCTATCAACCAACGTCCAAAACTGGCCCAAAAAGAACTAATCGAGATGCTCGCTGCCGCATTGCATGTCATATATCCGTGGCAAAGGAACGTACATTCTTTTACTTTGCTTACATGATGATTGCCGCAATCAAAGCCAATCCTCCAATGGTCGCCAGCGGCGGGACCATGCTGTGGGTGGAATCTGAGCCTGGTACCTGGGCTGGAACTGGTGGCTGTCCAGTTGGGTCGAGAACATCCGAAGGACGAGACCAGAGAGTGCTTGTTGAAGAGCGGTTTGGATCGTCCTGGCTTGTATCTGGGACGCTGCTAGCTGTCGCCGCAGGATCCTGCTTCTTCTGTGAGCTGTATGGATCCGAATACGACTGGGGAGATGGAACAGGCGAGGTCACGGGCTTGGCCTCCGAAGTAGTGGCCTCCGACGTAGTGGCATCCAACGTAGTGGCCTCCGACGTAGTGGCATCCGACGTAGTGGCATCCGACGTGTACACTGGAAGAGAGGCAGTGGTTGTTCCATACGGAGCCGGTACGCCAGAGCTTGGAGTAGGAATGGAAGAATCTTCGTCGCACGTCGTGATGGGTGGTGCCACAGTTGGTTCCTCAGTTACTGAGCTTTGTTCGTCAGGGCAGGAGGAAGTGAGCCTAGTTGGGGCAGGAGGCATTTCACTAGAGGTTGTCATGGTCGCAGGACTGGAAGACAACACAAAAGTGAACGTTGTAGGTATGCCAGGCGCTGTTCCAACAGGGGTGATGAGACCTCCAGCCGGTGGTTCAGTCACCGGGCCCTGGTCAGACGTGGTGCAATCCTCAGAACTGATTAATGTGATTGGCAGAACGAAGGTAGAAGTTGTATGTATGGTTTCGATTTGAGGCTGCTGGCTAGCTGTTTCCGTCTTCGTGTAGACATTGGCAATTGCGGGACCTTCAGCCGGGCAAATGCTCCCGCACATGCCATGGTTTGGATCTCCCAAGCATGGATTATTGCAAGCTCTCTCATCAAGGGGCTTAATCACGTTGGCGTCATCTCCGCAACGACAATCCCTAGAAACGTCAGACATGAATAGATTCCCAAAGGTCGTACTCTTCAGACTCACGTTGGGAACAAAGCAGCGAATTGATGACCTAGACAAGCCCGCTGGCACATTTCCGGAGTGATCGGCTCGCCATTCAGAAGCACAGGCGGTGTGAAGCATGACATATCAACAGAAGAGCATCCTTGGTACGCAAAGGAGTCGATGGCATGGTTAGCTTGAGCCAGCACCGTGGCAGCCGCGCCCAAGGCAAGCAACAGCGTCGAAGCACCCATTTTAGGTTCGTGCAGTGCAGCAATTCAAGGTGACGAGGATTTCAAGGGATGAAGTGAAAGCCTGGCTCAAGTATTGAGCAAAGGGGCTATGAATAAGGACCTGAATGAGGGACAGAAGTCGGAAAGGTTGGAAAGGATATGAGATGGGGGAGAGGATGAGTTTGTAGTACGATACTTTATTGAGACGAAAGAACAGGAGAAGATTATTAAAGCTGGAAAGAGCATGGCATTTCCTAGAAATAACATATGCCGTTTCGCCAGGTATCTTGAAGGAAGGAGCTGTGGTTCACTGGCGCCATGCCATCCGTCGCCAGCTGCCAAATCCGTAGCCTTGTCATGACAGCTGCCAATTATTCTGACGGCAAGGCCCAACTTCACATACAGGATCCTTAAACTCCCACTATACTGTGCATTAAAGCAAGCCAATTGACACCTAGGCCATGAATCCAAGGTCGTCGGGTTACTCACATGATATGACGCCAGCCTTGAGATTGACGAGGCAATTCACCCAGGATGTACAAACTGCGGGCGTTCGACTTGGAAATAAGCACACCATATCCACCCTAAAGACTTTAGGGAAAGATCGTTAAACTGATTGATTATTAAAAGGCAACAAGCAAAATCCTTTACCAACACGCCTAGTGTTGTCGTCCTCGACTACTTCTAACTGCCTGAGGGGGGCTGTTCCAGTACGTGCCTATCACGTGCAAGCTCCCGTGATCGTAATGTTGGGATGCCATCCAGAGCCCCACCTCTTTCAGGGCACGAAAGCCCCAATTTAGCGAACTACTCCCAATTGTGCAAAACTTCTTGACCGTCCCATCACTCCTTTGTACTCACCATCATCGTTGTGCACCACCAGTCAAGATGAGCGCCCAGGCCCTGAACAAGATCGCCCCCAACAGCCCTTCGCGGCAGAACCCCTCGGAGCTTGAGCAGAACATTGCTCAGGCTCTCTACGATCTCGAGACCAACACTGCCGATCTCAAGGTTGCCCTGCGACCTCTGCAGTTCGTCTCTGCCCGCGAGGTGAGAACTTGAAAATGAAATGAAACTAGATCCTTGGCCTAGGCGCCTTTCGAGATCCTGTTCCCAAAAGGAAACTATACAATGGCTACGACGAGCGTCCTCTGAAGTATAAAAGACGACTGATTGGAGCCATCACCCGGCTACGACGGCGAGTTGGAAGAAAAATTGTGCATCAGGCTAGAAATAGTCTATTACAAGACTCTACAACCTTCGTTTGAGGATGCTCGCCGGAGCCAGCGTACAATTGACTTCTGGAACAGGACGGGAAGCGGTCCAAGGCTATGTCCTGGAGCTCGCATGCTGACTTTGGGTCTTGATTAGATCGAAGTTGGCCACGGCAAGAAGGCTGTTGTCATCTTTGTCCCCGTCCCTTCCCTGCAGGGCTTCCACCGTGTTCAGCAGCGGTAAGTTTGTTTCGATTATTCCACAGCGGAGCCTCAGAATCGGTGCTAATCTGCTACAGCCTGACCCGTGAGCTCGAGAAGAAGTTCTCTGACCGCCATGTCTTGATCCTCGCCTCGCGCCGCATCTTGCCCCGCCCCAAGCGATCTGCTCGCTCCCGCAACACCCAGAAGCAGAAGCGCCCCCGTTCCCGCACCCTGACTGCCGTCCACGATGCCATCCTGGCCGATCTGTGCTTCCCTGTCGAGATCGTCGGCAAGCGTATCCGCACCAAGGAGGACGGTAGCAAGCTACTCAAGGTCGTCCTTGACGAGAAGGAGCGTGTTGGTGTCGACTATAGACTTGACACCTATGCCGAGGTTTACCGCCGTCTTACCGGCCGCAATGTGAACTTCGAGTTCCCTCAGGTCGCCAGCGCTGAGTTCTAAACCGAAAAGTGGGATTTTCTTTAAGCATTGGCATGGCAATCTCGGGGCTTGGGAGATGCTGGGTATATTTTCATCTGTCACAATTCGATGGCTGGTCAACAAAAATGGGGCTTTTGGCGTCTTAATGATTATGGTAGCTTGATAATGATACAGGCTGCTTCATGATATTTATTGATCAATCACCGACCACTTGTTGTCGTGCCCATAAAAAAAAACAATTTTTCCCCCACAGGGTATCTGAATCTATGTGCGCTGTGCCAACTCACTCGTGACTGATGCGTCCCACGCCAAGGACACACCAATATGCCAGTTCCCTCTTCTCCTTGGCTTCTTTATCCTTTCCATGCGCTGTGACTATGTCATGCTGGGCATCCGCCTCCCACTCCATCCGTATAAACATGGGTATCTCCAGAATGTCCTCGTCTTCCTTCAAGGGACTATCGTCCACCTCGTCCTTATCTTTTGCGAGTAGAGTTTGATGCTCTGGCCGTAGGGATGCTGGGACGACCTCGAGTATGATGCTCACCCAATTACGTCCCCTCTCCCATATTTTTGCTGCTTCTCCTTGGCCAGCACCTTCATCTCTTTTGCGACCCTTGTCTCTCCCCTCGTCTTTCAAAGCGTCGTCCCACATGTCGGTGTTAGCGTCAACTTCAAATTCGGGACACAAAACGGTGACTTTGCTAGCAAATCTCCCAGGTGTAGTGTTTGGCGTTGCTAGTGTTACCTTGATGCTTTCAAAGAGTGGGTTTTTGAAGGTCAGAATATACTGATACGGTTTGAGCGGTTTCAATGGTGCCTCGTCGTTGAAGGCTGGCCGGGATGTGACTGGTACAGGCGCTGCAGTTGGATGCATAGGGCGAATAGAGATGGTAGGGATGTAGGACTTTGCCACCAGCCGAATTTTAAACCTTGTAGACGTGACTTTGTTCTCGGGTTTGGATATGATGTGACGACAAGCAGGGCAACGCTTAGAGCGCTTAGTACGCAGCAGATACGGTATGGGTCGTAGCTCATCTTGAAAGCGTCCTGCCGAGACCTGGTGGGCACGCTGCTCCGAGGAGGTAGTGGCTTGCCATCCGTCGTTGGTCAACTTCTTGATCATGCCTGATTCATCCAATTGGGCCAATTTGAGGCCTTCCTCTGAGTTCAGTGCCTCGCGTATAACATCTGCTGGGCCCTGCTGCATACGTCCTGGATGACCATGGCTGGTGTACAGTGACATTATCCTCGACAAGGCGGCCGGTGAGGAGAATCCTCTACTGTCTTGCAACGGCATACCGCTAAGAGAGGGGTTTGAATTTGCTAACTGTTCCTGATAAAAGGCCCTCAAGCTTGCAAACTGCAAATCGCGGTCGACCTCATCGTCTGGCAGGGGTGGTTCATCTGGATTCTCTTTTCGCCTCTCCTTAACATCCCTAATGGTAATCTTTGGTGTACCACCATTATTCAACTTGCCAAGTTGCGAGTGGATACCGCCGGGCCGGTCGAATTTGATTCCAACGTCAGTTGAAGACCAGTTACAATACTGGCAGAAGAGTGCATACGGGCCGCCATTTGAGCTTGGCTGGCCCTCGGGAGAGAGCAGGTTGTCATCAGACATTGGCTGGATTGCGCTAACCTGCAGCGGCCCAATACATATTGGACATTGATAGCAGCTTCGTGTGCACCTTGGATGCAGTGTTAGTTTCTGAAACAAGCGCCCAAATCTCAATTCGCAATCTATATACCTGTTGCCCTCGCTTCGCAGGTTGCTGCTAGGAACTTCGAACAGGCAATTCGGACAGTAGTACGTTACAGTCTCCTCTGTGACACATCTCGGACACCGTATCTGCTGGCAATCTTCGCAGTACAGCAGATATTCTAGCGGGTACAAACTATAGTTTGATCGCGGGGCTCGTGGATCGAAAGTTCGCTCGTCATCGTCGAGATCCTCGCTCGCTAACGCATTGCCGCGATCGGCGGCAGATTGATCTGAACACGGGCATTGAATATATGTGTACGGAGTTGGATACGCCATTTTTGAATCAGCACCTCCATCCGTTGTAGGCGTTCACCAGAGGTCGTTTTCATTCTGGGATTTTGAGTCCAGAGGAGTTACGCAACCAAACTGGTGTGAGTGCGACACCTATTACAGCAAGGTATAACCTACCCCGTGGCTCCACTGACTAGCACCGACCCGGATCAAGGTGAGCTCCGGCAAGATTGAAGCTTTATGTTCCTTGTCAGGTGACTGAGCCAGTCAGTATTCTTCCAGTCTGTTCCTGAGTCCAGCCACCCGCCACAGTGCTTCAGTGCTCATGTATCATCAGCTCCATCATGCGTCTAGGGTTAAGATACGAAGTGTTTGATTGATGATCTTGATCTCTGCTAACTGTTCTTTGATATCATATTGACGTTTTCTGACTCAACCCCAACAGACTTCTTGAATCAATGCCTTTCGACTGACCATATTTTCCAATAATCAATAATCCGCCCGGAATGGATTGCCTCGATGGCGCCGGATAAGGCGGGCCAAGTCATGCAGACACGACAGACACGTGCAAGAAATCGACATCACGACGTGCCATCATCTTTCTGTGAGAAACATGGCTTGGCTTGGCACATGCTTTTGTCATATATTAGCCGCGTTAGAAACAATCTGGCTTCTTTGGACCAGACAATCTCTAGTTGTGTTGGACGGCACCGATGTCGGGCCAGCAAGTGTAAAATAAAATACACTCAAGATGATGCATGGCCTTAGTCGGAGGGCGCGACAGTTCCATCGTGAGTGCGCTGACCCCGGTCAATCAGGGCATGTCTTGCAACAGGGCGCCTCCTCAACTGATGTTCTCTCGGCGAATAGACCCGATTGCCTGGCAATCTAGCTAGGCTGGTGAGATGACCGGGAACAGACGAAGAATCAAGTCATACTAAGCATCTTGGGGGATAGTAATGAAGGACATCGCCACCCAGCTCTTGAATGGGGCCACAGGTCTCTGCAAGAAAACGGCCACGGCAGGTAAGTATTGACGAGAAATCATGAAACAAGTAGGTGGTGTTTTTAATTGAGTTCTGCGCTATTACGGATGCATACCGCTAACAACGCATGGTGTAGCAGTGGGAAATGAGGACTGGCGCCGCGAGTGGCTGCTTTCAGCTCCACGGCCTCACTCGTCGCCGTTTGGTTTGGGTGTGGCTTCCGGAGTACGCTCGATCGGCAAGCTTGCCACAAGGCTGGGAGACAAGTCTTACTCATGTTGAACCTTAAAACTAGCTCGTGGTGAGAGGCCAGAGGCCGTTTCTGTTCTCTCGCGTCTCAAGTCCGTCTCGACAAACTCCTGCAGCACATAAACCGGGTTCTTCATTCTGCCGAAGACGGGACACGGCCCTTGAAGCTGGGACAGTAACTTGGAGCCTGAGCGGTGACATGACCATGACGAAATACACGACGCACACCGTCTGTCTTGCGTCCGTCCATGCTGGTATTGCGCTACCATTGTTGCCAATCAACCCCCCACAATTTGCCACCATACGTCGTAGAGATTGGTGAGCAGGTTATTGAATTAGCGCCAAACAGTTCATCATAGCTCGCCCCTGCAATCGTACCTTGTGTGGACCAGCCTCTTGGAGGATGAAGTACCTTTGTATGAAGTGTGTAGGTATGCTGAGGCAATGGGTGTCTTGGGCTCTCCCACGGGCTGGAAGCAAAGAAGGCCACGAAACTGTTTGGCATCATCAAGTTGCGAGTCTACAATTGCTTTCGCTACCGAGGCAGAAGTAAGACGTTATTATGCCTACCAACTCATGACATCTACTTCACTACCCGCCACATTATCTGTGGCTCATTTGCCGCCAAGATACTGTGGGCCGGTACATTAAAGATTTGCATGGGCCGGACATGGGCATCGTGATGGACCTTGTCAACGGCAGGACATCGAATTCCGGCGACCCATGTGCACTAGGCAGTGGTGGGCTTAATTGGGACCACGTTCTTGTCCAGCCTGGCTTGGAATATGACACAAATCTCCCTGATAACCTGGCCTAGTTGCTGTCCCGCCGTGGGGGGTTGAGTTTCATCACGAAGATTTTATGTGTTCTCGGACCGCAGCTTCTTTTCCTTCTTTCTTTTATTCCCTAGCCCTGCCCACGGTTTGTGTTGTGGGTGAAGGTTGGTGAGAATCGTCCCATTGAGTTGGAAAGACTCTGCCATCGAGTCAATTGCAGAGCAGACGTTGGGGGACCATCAAGCTGCTGATCATTTTACAATGGCGGCGCGTTGGGGAACATTTATGGTCCAATTTGCCCATTAAGCGTTTCCCGACTGCGGTTCGGCTTTTGCTCCGAATAGCTGCCACCTTATTTCATTCAGGCCTCACACGATATTCATTGTTTAGCCAAGCGATTCAAGGCCTGAAGTATCATGCCTTCACCACCGCGACCGACGGCAGCCGCTGCTTCAAAACTGACCAGTCGCTACAATCGAGGAGGACATAGCTCTCATGGTCAACCGACGGACCCGACGGCTTTCACAGCATTCTCCAAGCTGAAGAGATGGGATGGAGCACAGTGCCTCTGTACAGCTTGGGATGGATTGCGAAAGGTATGATGATCTTGTATCTTTACTCTAACCTTTTTTTCTTTAATCATTATTCCTTCGTCCTCGCTGCGACCAGCTGAGCTCTGCTGACCATGTGCCACGGCAGGATCATGAGCTCTGGATCAGCAACGGCAATTGTCTGGTTTATCTCCACAGCAGCGTGGCCACCAAAGACAAGCATGCAGCGAAAACACCGGTTTTCAAATTGCCGTTTTCTTTACTCCTCATGACAAGATGTTATCCCTTGATAGAGCGATTCTTGGTCATTAACCATCCTGGCGAGCGCGGGGTGAGAACTCCCCGCACCCCAGGTGAGATAAACAAATGGCACCGTTCAAATCCGAAACGAACGGTTGAACTGTTCATACCGGCACCACCCAACGCGGATAAGAAACAGGTTGAACGCCACCAGTTGCTGATGAGGAACTTTTTTGCATGGGTTCTCCGGCGTTCTCTTGTTGGAGAGACCCTGGGGGAGGCATTGATTGGGCTGCTGAACTGCATGCACGAATATCGATCTGGCGGGAAAGTGGATAATGCGGCAGACATTATTGGGTATCTCGACGAAAAGGGCTATCTTTGCTTGGCTGGCCAGCCGGCTCATGCGTTGGCCGTGTTGCAACTGGCCGAGACGTTTCGTCTGAAGGACTTGTATCTTCAAGCCCTGGCACATTGTGTGGGAATGCGGGACATGCTCCTCTGCAGGCGTGAGTTCAAAGTAAGTTGGCCCTCCGTATATTTCCATGGCTGCTACGGGACGCTTGCAATGGCAGTGTTGACTGACCCATTGCAGCACATCAGCCTGGCCACTCGCAAGCTGATTCACGAGAGCGAGAATGAGTCGAAATCCCGGCTTAAAAAGACGTCAGCGATGCTGGAAAACTTTCTCGACCAAGAGCTTTCCGAGGCACATCTCGGCATCCCGCTCGGACTTCGTGCTCACCTGGAACGTTTCAGGAGCTTCTTGCTTTCTTTCTACAGCACGAGACTGGGCTACTATCCACCGAGCTCGTTTGATGCGGCGGCATACCGTGCCATGGCCAGGGATTTCAGAGCTCTGTACCGCCTCTTGGTCGATGAGGCATACAGCTCGTCTGAAGCCATGCCATCTGTTGCTGTGGGCGGCATCTGCACCCTGCAGCTCATTCAATCCTTCGACACGCATAGCTGCCTCGAGCCCATGAAGCACCCGCTCCCCAAGCTCCCGCAACTGGATCCGCAGCCTCGCCCGAAACGTTTGGCGTGGCTACCACGGGGTCCGAAACGACGCGCGGATGAGCGGCAACTGGGACATGCCGCGCTGGTTAACGCGTCGAACTGGAAGCAAGACTCGCTCGAGAACGGCCTCGTTCGGGCATACAGGAAGTTCGAAGAGGATTGCGCACTGGCGCGCAAAAGGCTGGATAAGAATGAGAGGGTTTCACTGGTCGACGGACGCAAGGTCCGATGGATCTTGATATATGCCGTTCACCAGACGCTGCGTTACGCTACACAGAGACCCTATGGCGTGCAGGATGACCCCAGCGCTCGATATCTGGTCACTATTGCCAAGGACACCCTACCCCCGTGGCAGGACAAACACACCCATGGAGGATTGATTCGCAGCCAGACTGAGCCGGCACTGAACCGCCTTGGTCGGCTGCAGGACGCGGACCCGGCCACTGCCATGGAAAGGTTTGAAATCAAGCCAGACATTGATTACTTCGCGTTGACTCACAAGCAAGACGCGACACCTCCGCCAAGGTCGAGGCGAGCGTCTCTCCCGCCTTTAACTACGGATAATCCAACCGCCCTGTCGCGAGCGAGCTCGTTCAAGCAGGTATTGAGTCGCAGCTCCACGATTCGCAAGTCGGTGCGAAGATTCACGCAAAGTGCCGCACCCACCTCCTTGCCCCCGGCCGCCGCCACGCCAAGCAAGCCTCTGTATCACGAAATCGTGGTCCACGGCTACGGCAATGGAACAAACGACGTCCGCCTGGGATCCGGCGCGGGCCCCCCGCTGCCGCCCTCGGATGTCGGCCGCAGCGCATCCACGGCGTCGGAAACAGCCTCCAGCAACGCCAGCACCGTGCCCAGCTCGGCGAGCATGGTTGACACGGCAGAATCATCGCTCGGCTCCCCAGTCCCCCCCGACTCACCAATCGAAATACCACCCAAAACCCGGCGATGGAGCACCCATGACGCCGCCATCCATTGCGGCAACAACAGCAGCAGCCCACCAGTGTCAAAATCCAACTCGCTCAAGCGGCGGCCCATCAGCTCCGCCTTGGAAGGCTACACCCACGCCGCCAAAGCCTTTGGGCACTTTGTCGACAGCGAACGCCGCAGCATCTTTGCCAACAGCCGCCAGAGCGGCACCGACCCGAAGCGCAACAGCTCCATCCCGCAAAGCCGCTCGATGCCGCTGCCCATTCGCGAGGACGACGTTGGCGAGGAGTCGTGCGTCTTGCCTAGAGACTCGGGCGATTGGACGGCCATGCAGGCGTTTCTGGATGGCAAGGGAGTAGACGCGGAAGCGGCGCATGCGTGGGAGCAGTATGCCGATTTGGGGGGGCTAACAGAGGTTCGGTGAGGATTCCTATCAAGAGGGAGATTTGGTCCTCTAGAACAGCAGGTCGCCAAAAAAAAAAAGGCAATATTCATTGGCAATTGTTGGAGTATTTCCCACTCTTTTTGTTTTAGGCGTCAAGCATTTCCGGGCATCTTTGTTTCTCGTATTTCGCTCCAGCTGAGCGCTTTTCTTCAACATCTGATACCCAGTGTGCGGGCATACAGCAGCGCAAGACGCGTACATGATACACATACCCACCGCATTCGGCAAGACATAGGTTAACGATGGCATGGCTTGGTCTTTTTTTGCTTCTCTTTTTGAACGTTTCGTGTTTCAGGACGATCCTCGACAGTAAACGGTTGTGAGCATGCTTTTTAGAACTGGACGCAGGCAGAAGGGTCATGTAGCAAACAAATTCTAATTCCTAACAAACGGGGTATTCCGTAACGCATAAAAGACATGTTTCCCCCACCCGATGCTGTGCCCTCTCTTTTCTGCAGGCTGGTCTTGTCAAAAGACGGCCACTATTTGGTAATATTGGGTTCATGTTGCCGTTCCCGGTCCTCTTGCTTTGCCAAAGTCGGCAACTCCACGGTGTTGCTCAATATACTTGCGCAAGTGTGCCATTTTCCCCACTGCGCCCTTTCAACCAAGTAAAGCTGGCGGTTCGCTTATTTAGAAGTATAGCAGAATCACTCCTTCTTTGAATGCGAAGCAGCTTCCAGACCATCGAGGATCTCGGCGCCAATAGACCAGGCCATGTATGATGAGCCAATGAGCCAAGCGCCACTGCGGCCATGTTAGCCAGGTGTGTAGGTCAAACGCAGGACGGGAGACGAGCGTACTTGGGGATGATCCAGAGGAAGACGAGATCGATGGGGTTGTTGTGGCCAATGTTGTCGAAGCCAGAGAAGTATTCATTGGACCCTGCTCGAGTACTTAGCACCGACGTCTGTTTTTGCGCCCGTCGCGGCGCACTTGGCCACCAAATTCGCATCACACCACTTACAGTAAAGAAGCGTCTTGCTCAGCGTCATGACGGCCGAGCTGAACCCAATCAGCACCGCCAATGCGCCTACTCTGCCAGTCACCACCCTCCCATGGCTGGTGACCTCGCCGCGCGAATACCACAGCCACAGATACGCGGCGTACATCAGGGTCTCGACGACGTTGAGGAAGCCCTGGGCAGCGGTAAACCCGTTCTTGGCGTGGAACGCCTTCCACCCGTAGATGTGGTCGATTTCGCCGTAGAGCTTGTACGGCAGCCAGAGAGGCCAGTGGGCGGCGCCGCCTTCCATGGTGTGCGGACGGCCAAGGACGTAGCCCGTGTCCCAGATGACGAGGGGGAGGGAGATGCCCATCCAGAGCAAGGTCCACAAGGTCGGGGTGTGCTCGAAGGCAGAGGCGCGGTGGGCGCGGCGGCGCGCTGCGGTCGAGGGCGCCGGGGTTGCCGACTTGCGCTTGCGCGTGGTCGACGTCGGTGTTGATGGCGTGGACGTGGACGTGGACGTGGGCTCGGGGCCGGCACTGTCGGCACGTGAGGACGAGCGGGTGCTGACCATGGCGAGGGTATTCGCGGGCGGAATGGGGGCCTGGGGTGAGAAATTCAGGTGCGTGTCGCGACGGGGGAGGCGACGGCTTGGTATATAGGTGTGGATGGCAAGGCGACGGGGAGCATGTGGAGAGTGCGTGTGTTTGTGTGTTGATGTTCGTGAGGCCGAGTTGGAGGTTGGAGGTTGGAGAGAAGGTGAAAGGCGTGGGTTTGTTTACGGAGACCGGGGCGCCAATCCAGCCGAACCAGCACAAACCCCAAAACGAGTGACGTTCCGAAACTGGGGAGAGATGGACGTAGCGTGCGCTGATGGATGGGCGGGATGGGAGACGGTTTGTTGGTGAACTCAAGCTTTGAGGATGGATGAAGCGGAGGGGCCAGGCTGGATCGAATGGGGTCAATCGGACTGGGTGGATGGGCCAGGTGGAGGCGGGGGCCGGGCCAGCAGTGGAACCCGACATCTGCACATCCGGAATCTCCATGATCCCTTTCGTGATGTTCCGATTGATGGATCGACCATGTCCCCATCCTCCTTCCGGGGTAATCTGGCACAAGATTGGCTCGCGTTTGTCGCGTTGGTTGATGCAGATATTGTTCTATTGTTCTGCGGCTGCAGTAGTTTGCCTCGTCGTCTTCGGGTGTCGTTCCAAACAGTTGAACAATTATTTTGTGTGCCAATGTCCACGCGTTTTCAACGGCTTTGTTTTTTACGCATCGTGGCTACTCAACCAAAGGCATGGCCCCCCTTTTCCAAATAATCCTTCTCCTCAGCTGTCGCCTCCCTGCCCAACGCCTTGTTCCGGTGCGGGTACCGTCCAAACTTCCTGATGATATCATAATGCATCTGTTCAAAATCCAGATTCGTCTTGGCCATCTTAATTGCCGCTTCAATATCCCCCTTGACCACCCTCAGCGCTCGCGCATGATACTCATTCCCCGTTGACGCCTCGTGCTCATCTGCCAACGATTCAACATCCGTCACCGCGCGTCGAAACCCGTCCAGCGCTTGCTCATGGTCCATCAAATCCTCCGAGTGCATGAGCGGCATGTAGAACCAGCTACGGAACGCAAATTGCCACCGTATTTCTGGATTCCGGTCCGGGAGCCCCTGCTCAATAGCTGCGCGCGCAACATCTCGCGCGATGGGATCGAATTCGTTAAAGACTACCGAGGATGAGGCCCCACGGTAACAGTTCCGGGGGATTTGGTCCAGCAGAATGAGGAGGCTCATCCAGTCGCATGGCTCCGTTGGCTCAACGGCGTCAAGAATCTCGGTGCCGGATGTGACGCCTGTCTTCCGGAGAGCTTCCAGGGTTGATAAGAACTTTTCGCTGTGATTTTCCAGTTAGGAATTTTTTTTTTTTTTTTTGGGGAAAATTTCAGAAAACGCACACGCTTTCCTTTTGGAGGGCTTCGCCGCCCATGAACCACCGTTTAACATTCTCCTGCGGCGGTATGACGCATGCCTCGGCGGTGGAATTGAGGAACCAAAACTCTTGGATTTCGCGGAAAAGAGCAGGCGTCACGAGTGATTTGATCGTGTGGGCCAATCTGACCTGGGATCCTATGTCAAATGGGTTTGGCTGTCGATGTTTGGAGCTGGATGTGAATTGCCTGCTGCGGGAAGAGAGAACACCCACGAGAGGCGTAAAGCATGCGTTCAGAGAGTAGGCTGGGGTCCATTGATGATCTGGAGCGGCCGCGCGACAGGCTACCAACAGCGTGGTCGGCAAGACCACCGAGCGAGCGGCGCGCGAGCGTATTGACCAACTTTGGGGGCGCCGTAGTGCCGCAGAGGTATGACGTATCGTTGCTGACGCCGCACGAGCAGTCATGACCTTTGCCTGATGTCGCGGGTTGATGGCGGGCTGCGGGCAAGATGCTGTCTATCCTGTTTCGCCTTGACTGTGACCGGAGCCGGCTTTGGGACACTGCATGTCGGACTTGAAGTTGCCGTTGAGCAAATGTCAAAGTATGTGATGAGTATGTGATGGGGTCCGGAGATCTAGCACCAACGGAGGTGACCTCCGCTTTTGTCCGTGCAACGGGCAAGCCCTTTGATGTATGCGGGCGCGGAGCTTCCGGATAAAGGCCATCCCTTGAAGGCGGCAGCGAGGTCATGACAGCACAGGGATTTTGAGCCAATTGAAAGCTAGTATTTACAAGGTGCTTCATTTTCATACTTGACTTATATTATAATAAAAGTCCTAATAGACTTTCATAGTATTAAAAATTACGTCACACATATCATAATCACACCTTTATTAGGCCTGACACCGTTGGATTCTGTGACCTCAGTGCCGCCTTCGCTGCTTTTAGGGGATATGCAACTCGGCGCCACCGGACACATTCCCGGGCTTGGCAAGATGGAGTTTATGTCGCACGGCACAGCAAGCCCACTAGCTGTATTGGATAGCAAGCCACGTAATGCGCAGAGATATTGGGCATAGCGAGCGTGGAGCTGAGCACTCCCCGTGCCTCTTTAAGGGGCGCACACAATTCTCTCTTTTGCAGCTTAATAAAAAAGATTTTACCCCTATCATATTGGTGTTATTAGCTGATGCTCATTTTCGTGTGACAGTTTATACGTGCGTCGAATATAACGACAGACGTACCTGAGAAATAACAATCGTCATGCAAACGCTTTTAAGGCGGATATCAAGTTCGTTTTGCAACCGAGCCTATATTCGCTGTGCGAGGTGTGATTTGCGAAGATGTACAGGGGCATGCCAGCCATGTTCCACTGATGTCTCGGTAGAAGCCGAGGGATGTCGGGATACAGGTACGTGTGATGGTTTAGAAATTCACACTACTCCGTACAGCAATTTGATAAGCAAGGTCACTGAGATTCCAAATCATCATTCAAGTAGCCACGTTGGCTTCTTTTATCGTCAATCCTGTTTGGAAGTGTTGTGGCAAGTCTCAGACAACTCTGTTGTAGGCGAGCTTTGCGTTTGTGCTTGAGCGTTTGCAACAACCATGACTACAACGCGTGGTCAGCTTTGCCCGGGTGCTGTTAAGGGCTGATGAGATGGGAATTTCCTCTTTTCCAGGTAACTATTCATTCAGTCCCAGCTAACTAGCTTATTGGGGACATGGATGGCTAACAGTTTAACATTTGGAAAGAAGAACCGGGGCCTCTGGTCAAGCTGAGATGCGCCTTGTTTCTTCGTTTCCGAGACCTCCAGGGCATTGAATCACAGCCCATGGATGTGAGCAAGGCACCGGCTGATGCCGTGATTCATGGAATACTTCATACTAGTGGCGGTTTCTGACGGCCTGAGCAGCAAAAGAGGCCCTCTTCGTACATAGAGTGCAGGTTTTTTCAGCTTGCTTCGTCTTGTGAAAAGGAAATTTGCTTCAAAACCCTCCATGGCCTGCGTGGACCGGCTTACTACATGGCGGCTGGCGGTGGCGGTACAGTCTCGGCGGTTGATGCAAGGCTGCATCTCGGAGGAGCATGTGGAACAATAAACATCGTCACATGGTCTCCATGGGCATGTTACACAATATGTGTCGGTGCAAAATGTACAAGAGTATACGGGTACCTCCGGACTTGGAAAAAAAAAAGAGTATCGACCGGCAGCATGTACCCACCAGCCTATAGTTATATATATAAACGTGCTACGGCTTTGGCTTCACAACATCACACTCTGTTCACGATTCCTAGCCTCAAAGCTTTCCCACAATGTTTGGACAACTCTCCCAGCAACCAGAGTCAAAACTGTTTGGCAAAGGGATGGATGGATATGACTTCCAATGCCCCCCCTCGATACTCAAAACAGCTTGTCATCCTCTTGTAGAGGAAATGACGGAGCGGGTGAATGAGTTCTTCCTTAAAAACTGGCACTTTCCAGATGAGGAGCACCGCCGAGCATTTGTGGCCGGGCAATATGCTCGGTGCGCTTGCCTGGGTTTCCCCATGGCCAAGAACGATCGCATTTACTTGATTTGCTTATTGCTTACCGTTCAGTTCTTAATCGATGGTACTACAGCTCTCACATGAACTCCGCTGTTGCCATTGCTCATAACTAATCAAAGTAGATGCATTTGCCGACTTGTCATTCAGTCAAGGGCGTGTCTTGGCAGAAAGGATTGCAAATCTCTGTCGTGGGCAGGGTCTTCCGAACAGGGCTGTCCCCATGGAGTGGATCTCATTCGACATATTCCGCGACATGAGAGAGCTAGACGAGGAGCGCGCAAACCATGTGGCGGAAGCCGTGGAGAAGTCCATGATGATTCAAACCTGCAGCAGCCGCGGCAAAGACATGGGATTTTCGGACTTTGTCGAGTACCGGTCCGTTGATGCGGGCACGTTGTGAGTTTTTTGCCGTGTGCAAATCCTCCCAGTGTGACCGATGGCTAAGACGTGTACAGAATGCTATTTGCCCTCATTCCATTTGGCATGGCTCTTCGGCCCAAGCTGGGGGAGCTTGAGCAAGTTCAGGATATTAATGCAAATTTTGCAAGACATTTCCTTGGTATGAACGACCTAGTCGGGTATGAGAGGGAAGTGGTCGAGTCCAAAGCTGGACATGAAGAAGGCGGCACGCTCATTAACAGTATATCGGTTTTGTCTGCCGAACTTGGCCTGTCCCCGGCGGCGACGAAACGACTCCTGTGGCAAATGTGCCGAGAATGGGAAAGGAAGCACAAGCAGCTGGCAAAGGACGTCTTGAGCGTCGACCATTCGCCCGATTTGGAGACTTACGTTGAATCTCTGGAATACATGATGACGGCAGGAGAAGTATGGGGACTGGTTACGGCAAGGTACCAAGTGTCTTGAGTGCCTGAACCTGGTGCCGATGTTGGTCGCATGACGGAGTTCTAGGGCCTTTGTAGTTTGGAAATGATGACAGAGCCCAGGAATTCACATACTCCTATCATCAGGCAAAAAAAGGCGAAAATAGCTAATTGTAGAGATATTTTTAATAGTGTACTTTGTATTCACATATTCTTCCATATTTCATTTCCGTTCCTTGACTATCCTGGGAAATATTAACTAGCTAGGCTTTCGCTTACTCTATGGGTGAGACATTCGTGGTATATTCCCCCCAAAAAGCGTCTTGGGATATAACGTATGCAAATAGATGGGATGCCGGTCATCTTACTCAAGTAGAAAATGAATATTAATATGTGATTTCCTGGATGGTGTCTGAGTAAACAAAGTCCTTCATGAGATTGGTCGTATACAAATGGAATAACTGTATTGGCCCGTCTTGTGGTCATGCAACAGCTCACGATAGCCACATGCGCGATTTTCGCCAAACCTGCATTAGATAAATATGTCAGGCAATAAATTTACTTCAAATCTTCCCCATCTTCCGGGGTGGCAACCTCTCAGCGAAGAGTTGATCAATCTCACCAAACGTCTTCCCTTTGAGTTCCGGCACATACACCCAGCTTCCAATGGCACCAATGATGGCCAATCCACCGAATATGAGCCCAAACTTTCCCTTTAAATTACCCTTGTCAGGATTCACCATGTGTTCACCATGTACGGGACAGCAAAGTCCATAACCAATCCGCGTATAGCCCGCGTGGCGGTCGCAGGAAAAATTGTCTTTGCGCGCAGCACCGTACTTGACGACTCGCCGAGAATGGTAAAGGCCACCGCGCCGATGGTAAGGAAATAGATAAAGGCGTGAATTACAGTGCCGGCGGCTTGCACCCACTTCGCAGCCTGGCTGGAAACGACGTCCATGATGCCAATAAGTAGGAGGAGGGCGGAGAGGGTCATCATGCCAAACAGAAAAAGCTTCCGGCGGCCAAATCGCTCTACAATGAACCAGCTCCCGATATTGCCCAGGACACCACAGGCCGTGACACCAACCCCCAGATCGAATGAGTTGAAGTCGTCGAGGCCGGCAAGCTGGAAAAAAGTATGTTGAGTAGCCGAGCACGAAGATGATGCCCACCAAGTGCTGACATAAGAAGAAGCCTGTTCCTGTTTGTTCCCCTGAAGCAGTCAACGGAGCCCAACCCAGAGCTGCCTTGGAGCTTTTCGTGCTGGATCGTCTCGCTCCCCGAATGCCTTGACTTACAGAGTTGGAAATAAGCTGGCCGACGGCTATTCCGAGATTGACGCCGGCAGTGGCAATGCCTCGGAGCGCGACGGGCGCAAGCTCTCTGCACATCATGGGCGCCAGGGTAAGATAGAAGCGCAAGCCGACTCCAAGCACGAGCTTGGATCCGAGAAAGGCCGGCCGAGTGGCGGAGACGATCTCGCCAATGCAGCCGGCACTGCATATGGCGACCCCGATGAGAAGTGCGCTTTTGCGACCGATGCGGTCGGCCAACCAGCTGCATATGAAGCCGCCGAAGAACTGACTAACGGTGCTGATGATGTTAAATGCCGATTGCCAGTCAGCAGGGAGAATGGCCTCCCCATCGACAGTATATCTAGACGGATTTAGTTATAGGTTCAAGAGACAGAGACCCTTGAGGAAGCGCCAGCGTACCCAAAGTCACGTCGAACGGACGGAACAGAGATCATGGCACCGTTGATTTGGGCGCCAAACCCCTATTCGCATCAGTAAGCAATGTCAAATATTGATAACCGTTCAAGCAGAGGCACGTACCAGCCAACGGCGGCCACGGTCCAGTAACAACACCACCAGACAACGAGTTTATGCCTCCTGCAAATACCTGCAACGGTCAACTCCTGCTCCAGCCGCTGGCTGCGCTTGGGGTTGCGCCGGGCGGCATCGTCTTCGACCGACATTGGGGTTTCAGTCTCTTGGACGTCGTTTATCTTTGCGTCCATTTCAGATGACTCAATTACCGGCAGAAGGGTATCACAGAGCTGCCTGATGATTCCAATCTTAGCTCCGCGGTTGAGATGTGGGCTTGATGGCCATGAACCCCATGGGGTAATCCGGCGAAGGAACGCAAATGAAGCCGTCCCCCATATCCCGGAGGTGGAATGTCCAAGTCCCGTCACTTCAACGACAGAAGTTAGAACGTGGAATTCCCAGCGGGCTGAGAGCCTCATGGAGTCCTGCTCTTAAATGCGACATTCCGCCGTCGATGGGTCCGGTTATTTGTGGACAAGGCAAGCCACGTTAATAGTTCCTGTCGCAGATGAAACTGCCGGCACTCAGCCTGAATAACGCGTGGCGAGGCAGAACAGATCATGCGATGGAACCTGGGCTATGCACGACAATGTAGAAAGCTCAGGTCAGTTTATGGGCAATAAAAAGTGCGATACTCCGCTTAAACTCGACACATCATAAACCACTCGCATGCGATGAATTGATGACCCACCTGCACCTGCACCTTCCCGTTCTCATCCTCCGTCATCGCAACTTTCAACCCGTGTGGCTTCGACTATCGAGATGGCAGATACCCCTATGCCAGAAAGGAATGCTGCTGCAGGTCAAGGTGATTCTGACGACGCACCTGTTGACGGCAAAAGCGGCTCTCGGCCAGTCCCACGGGGAAGCGCCTTCTACAGTCGACGGCGAGCCGTGAAAGCGTGCCAAGTATGCCGGGCTCGGCGGACCAAATGCGATAACCGCAAGCCTTCGTGTTCCTTCTGCCTCAAGGTTGGCGCCAAATGTATCCAGTCACCTGTGGACCTTTCCACCTTTGACCCGGCCAGCCTGAAGATCCTGGAGCGGCTGGACGACTTGGAGAGGACCATGAAGACCATGACTATCACTGGCCAGACAAGAGTTCCGCCAGTGGCAGCGAAATCAACGACGGCCGAGCTCGTTCCCCCCGGTCCAGAGCATATCGTCAAGTGGAATGTCTTTGCTGACCTTTGTCAGGCCCTGGACGGGGTTGGGCTTGCAGAGTCCGAGTCCGCTACGTCAAGCCACCATCAACTCCCATCACTGTCATCACCATCTCCTCCATCGCCAATAGCAGATCTCACGACCGAGCTCGAACTTTGCCGGGTAAACCAACTGCTCGACAACTTCTTTAATCATGTACACGTAAAAAACCCCATCCTTGATGAACAGCCAGCCCGGCACACGGTACAATCAGTTGTTTTAAACGGCATCGACTGGTCGGCAGAGTCATGCCTGACACTCCTGATATGTGCTCTCGGCTTTATCGGGCGACCATTCGGGCCAATGCTCGAAACAATGCCCGGAACGAGTGCGTACGCAAGCGCAAAGATGCTGTTCCTCGCCGCCCAACGGCGTATCGGCAGTGTATTATGCTCCGAAGACATCGTTGCCACGCAGTGCCTGTTTCTGTCCGGCGTGTACATGATGTGCATGTTCCAGCCCGTCAAGGCCTGGCGTTTCTTTGTGCAGGCGCTCGCCTCTTGCCAGCAGCTCTTCTTCCTCAACTCGCCACCGTCTCCCTAGTCTTGGGCAATATGGGATACGAGACCAGGCGGCCACTCCCTGAAAACACTCCAGCAAGCCACGTACTGGTCCTCGTGGAAGTCGGAACGAAGATGAGGGGATACATCCGGCCTGCCGACTTCACCCTCACAGAAGAAGAACTGGCCTTCTACCCGCCATTTCTGCCGACGCCGCCCAACCTGCAGCCGGCCCAGGAGTTTGAGACCAGTAGCAATTCTTGCCTGAATCGGCAGACTGTATCTTGGTCCTTCTACCTTGCCGAGATTTCGCTCCGCAGGCTAGCAACGAACCTGCATGCAGAAATGCTGCGGCTATGCGGGCAGCCGCTGTCGATCCAGGACGCCCTCGAGGTCCTGGCGGCCGCGGTGCCGCAGTTTGAGGAGCAGGCTCAGGAATGGATTGCCTCGCTCCCTCCGTGTCTCTCGTTTGACACCCCGGCCGAGCAAGACGATGTCTGCAGGTTCGTGCTCCGCGGGCACGTAATCAACCTATTCGAGATGATTTGCTGGCCCTTCATATCCGCACATCTCACGCAGGACCTGGTCGACGAGGAAACGCAGAGGATCCTGCCCTGGGCCAGCGGCAACATCAAGAGGCTGGCGCAAAAGGCGTTGGACTACCATACCCTGAGGCTCGCTGTCAACAAGTCGGGATACAGGCATCGTCACCACGGAACCCTCCTCATGATACAGTCGTGCTCGAGGAGCGCTCTGGTCCTGGTTGCTGCTATGCTGCGCAACATTGCAAGCACGGCGCAAAACAGTGCAAAGGGAGCGAATACCTTGTCGCTGCCTGCTGGCTGGTGGGCGAGCCTTGACGAAACTATTGACATGTTGGCGTTTTGGGAGAATGAGTCGCGGCAATCGGCGGGCATACGGCGCGTGTTACAGGCGGCAAGGGAGAGAGCTTTGTAGCCAGTGATCTTCTCTAACCAGCAGAGTATTTGTAGTAAGTATTATGTACTTGTAATTTTATAGTCAGACAAGTGAAGTGGCGATGGAGATGGATAATGTAGTCCGGTCGTGCCCCTAAAAATAGGTTTTCATAGGGAGAGGCACGAGGGCAGATCAACAGGATAATGATGATGACGAGAAAGACGAATGGGCAGTCAATACCGTGGTTGCTCATAATAAGCCCAACACGCTGCTTTCCTTTACTCCCTGGGACGCATATCTTTTGTCGATAGTAACAAGTCTAGCCGTGTTGGCCGACCGGCTTGTCAATGGACCTCATGATCAAGTATATCGATGAGCAGATGAACTTGAGAAATATGAATCTGACGACCAAGCGCCACAGCCTACATTCTCTACCAAATGAAATGTACTCAAAAGGTACGTAAACGTAGCTAGTCCTTCACAACCCGATTCAACTAAGGAGATACCCACTTACGCGGAGTGTCGGATTCACGTACCTAGAAGCTGCGTAGCATTGAGTAATTGATCAGACGTTGGAGATTGCTACCAAAGGTTAATTTGCAAGAATACGGCCAAGTAATAATAAAAAAACCCTCTATTGGCCCATGGCGCATAGATTCTTGACCGCAACAGCAAACCACAATGTCCCTGTCCGCCATTCAAAATGCGCGCCCTTTATCAGTCAGACCAACGGCCGGTCCAAGTAAACAAGCAAACCAACAAACCAGCCATGCACCATGCTCCGTGTAAGTGGCACAAGAATAGTCGACCCGACCGGGGACGAAGTAGTCCTCGGTGCCGGGCTAGGCGGCATACTCAGCATGGAAAACTTCCTCACTGGCTACTCCGGGCACGAGCACGAGCACCTCGCCGCCTTGAACGAAGTCCCGACTCCTGCACCACTTCTTTGTGAGGCGGACGCAGAGCTGTTTGCCTCGCTGGCCCTCAACTGTCTCCGTGTGTCGTTCAACTATCGCCACTTCATGGACGACGACAGCTCCGACGTCACAAAAGAGCCGGGGTTTCAGCTCCTGGACAGAATCGTCAACATCTGCTCCAAGTACAACACGTACGTGGCGCTGGACCCGCACGCGGTCCCCGGCGGCCAGAACCAGGACTGACACAGCGACTCGGGCCTGAGCAGGGTCCTGTTCTGGGAGTTTCGAGATTTCCAGGGCCGTGCCATTCAGCTGTGGACACCAGGCCCTATGCCGGGAATCCCGTCATCGCGGCATACAACCCGCTCAACGAGCCGGCAGACCCCCAGCACACGCGGCCCATCTCGTGGTACAATAGGGTGGAAGCGGCCATTCGAGCCGTTGACCCAGGCCAAATGTTGTTCCTCGACGGCAACACGTACCCCATGGACTGTTCGGCATTTGACGCTACAGACACTGCCAAACGCCGTGTACAGCTGCCACGACTACAGCATGACGGGCTTCCCGCTGCCAGAACAATACAAAGGAACGGAAGCGCGGGAGAAGAAGCTGCGAGTGAGCTTTGAGCGCAGAGTTAAGCTTATGAGAGGGGCGGGCGTGCCGATATGGAACAGCGAGCTCGGCCCCGTGTACCGGGACCCGAGGACAGACGCGGACGCTGCGGAAACCAACGCCAAGCGCTTTGCCCTGCTGCGAGAACAGCTGGCTATATACCGGGCGTGCGGCGGCGTGTCGTGGAGCATATGGCCGTACAAGGACGTCGGCTGCCAGGGCATGGTGTACCTCGATCCCGAGAGTCCGCACATGCGGCTCATGCGCCCGTTTGTCGAGAAGAAGCAGCGGCTGGGTCTGGACTCTTGGGCCTGCGCCGGCAAGACCCAGCTCCACGCCCTGGTCTACCAGCCGCTCATTTCCAAACCGAAGGACGTGGTTCCGGAGCACCTGCGCCAAAAGAAGTACCCCAAGATTTGGACGTTTGACAGGCAAGTGGAGCGGGTGGCGAGGGAGTGCCTGATGAGCGAGTATCTCGGGTGGAAGCTGGCCGAGGCCTTTGAGGGCAAGACGGAGGAAGAGCTGGAGGAGCTAGCGGGTAGTTTTGCCTTGGAAAAGTGTTTGAGGCGGGACGGGTTGAGTTGGATCCCGCAGATGGACACGCGGGTGCCTTTGACAAAGGGCAAGAAGGGGGCATCAGTAGAGCTTGGCTGAGATGTCCAGAAACAGTGGTGAGATGAATCAAGAAAATAGCGTAGCATTTTCTGTTGTATTTAATAAGCGGGAGACTAAATGCTTAGAATAGGTTCAATGTTTAAGAGGTACTATGGGTGTCGGTCGGTTTGCGAGATAGGGAGTACTTGAAGAAGCACCGATCAATTAACTCTTCATGGCGCTGCGCCTGTAGCGGCTTGCATTTTAACTTTGTTGAAATTATAAAGCAAGAAAAAAAAAAGGATTTGGATACTCTGTAACGGTCGCTGTCGCTTGTTACAACCGCACTTGACGTCGCTCGCCCTTGGCCGAGTATCTTTGGGACTGGATCAACCAAACGTCCTTGATAGGATGGGGATTTTGGCAATTGCATTTACACAGAAAAAAAGCAAAGACTGGAGGCCCCATCGTACTTCAGGACCATGATTGACTACAGTGCGAGGCGTGGTATGAAACCGCTGCCATACACGGGAGCAGCAGACACTGCTCGTCCAGCGACGGACATGACTTTTGGTCTAGCACGTTTTCGCAAGGTTGAAGCATTATAATGAATTTTGATATTTTCAAGGCACTCGTCTGCTTCTCTACCGGTCCAAGCAAACGCCAGCCGCACCACCTGGTAGACCAAGCCGCCATCGGCCTCGGGCACGCGGCCGAGCTTGGAGAAGCAAGCATAAATTCTCGACGCCGGGCTGCCCCAAATCTGGCCGGACGACACAGCAACAGGTCTCCCTTGCATCGGCAACTCCTTCTCGGCGCTCCGGAATTTGTGCCGCAACACCTCTTCACCAAACTCGTGCCGCGACACGCTCTCGTACACCACCTGCCAGGGCGCGGTGTGGCAGAACTCCCAGTCAGTCGCGGCAAGAAAATCAAACTTGTCCCCGACGAGAACATTCTCCGCGCCGAGACGCACATGGCAAAGGGGAAAGCTAGTAGGGCTCGAGTCCCTGAACAGCGTCAACTGGTAGCATCCGAGACCATGTTGCAGAAAGCAAGAGCCCCCATCCCCGCAAAGGCGGCTGCCGAGTCGCCACGGTTCGAGCCCAAGTCGTCGACGGCGGCTTTGCCAACAGCGCCCGGGTACTCGGACGCCGTGGGGAACGGACCGCCGCCGTCTCA